TATCCATCAATAGAACACCTCTGGTCACTAATCAGACATATGTGTTGAACAGGTTCATAGAAAAGTACGAAACCTCTAATTTGCAATATCTGAAAGAAATCCTTTTTACAATGAACCTTATATGGCACTCAATTAGGGACCGCTAATAAGATGTGATAAGTGATACAGACACATTACGGCTAATATTTTATTATTATTCTGTACCATTAATAGATTTGTATTTTAATTGTTTGATTTTCAGCCATTTCTGATTGTTATAATGCGATAATAGTAAAACCCACCAATGTTTACATAATTTACAATTACATCGTCAATTATCATGTGTACTTTCCATTTTCATTAGTGTATTTATCATATTTTTATTTTTATTTTCAGCTGGACTAATGTACTGTTTTTGTTGTTCTAATAAAAAGTTTGTTATCAAATATCAACCGAAATTCATTACTTCCCTATAGTACTCTCTGTAATATAATTTCCAACAGTTTGATTTGACCTGTAAACTAGTAGGTTTCATATGGCCAACTGCTACTAGGAAACACTCTGATGTCCCATTGCTTAGTACTGAAAAAGCTATTGTGATTATGTATTTTAAAGAAACTCATTAGCCTTGGTGGAAAAAACTTTGAAATACATTAGAGAAGTGATTGTAGTGGCAAAGCATCTATAACTCAGAGACGTTAATGAATAACATCACTGATAAATGTATGTACGAAGTAATTTTATGTTATTGATCGATATTTTACCTTTTCTGACAGTTATTGTTATCAAACAAAACAAATCAGTTAGGACTTCTATAATGAAATTAACAAACTGGGTTGATTTGACTATACGTAAAAGTACAAAACTCTAACTTCCAGTTCTATATGAAAAACCACAAGTGCATTTAGTGGAATCACTTGACACTTCAGGGATACGATTTAAGATGGCAAGTTACCCCCCAAACAATCTTTGTAAATTTTGAAAGAATTTTAATTCAAACATTTTAGGATACTTACAAATTTGCTCGCTAAAAAAGCATAAGCGTCGATAAGGAATATACTTAGCTCACTGAGAACACAAGCCATTTGGCTCTGGAATGTGAAAGCAAACGATACAATTCACCGACGTTTGCTAATTTGCGCAAGCATCTATACCCCGTTAGTTCGTAACGTAATCGCTGACTTCACATTACAAATCGGTTTTCCTGTTAATCAGCATATTTTTGGGGAGAACTATTTAAGTGCTATTCCAAACCTTTATTTTCTCAAAATAGACAAACAAGTCATATGAAATCATTAATACGTAAGGTATAGTATGTATTATTTTAGACTGTTGGTTAAATTTTATTACATTCTCCTATACTATAGTTAATACAAGTTGTCACTGATAAGGGTGTAAAGCTAAAGGGAAAGTAAAAAAGGGTGCTATTAACAAAGTGGCAAATTAATAAAAGCGAGCATTGTAACGGGGAACAAATTTTCGAATGATGTGAAAATTATTCGATTTACTTTCTCTTGTAGATGTCCTTCTTTAAACTTACAATGTGGTGGATGGTTGAGATAGAGGATTTAATCAACTTATTAATGCTACTGATCCAAGTATAAAGAATATGATTATTGCCCTGAAAAAGAACAATCTAAATGGATTGGAAACTGAACCGCGTATTGCAGAAATCTAACAACAACGCTTATAAAAGTATCAGGAGTTAGCATTATTTATCAAACTGGTTCTAGAAGATAAGTAAAACAGATTTACATGGGCTATCTTTGCAAAAAAGCACATTGCTTTTGAATTTTAAAAGAGAGCAATGTTTCAGAGTTTAAAATTTATTCAAATGGAAATTCACCAAATATTTCCAATTCATTATCAAAACATCAGTCTTAATCTACTATCCCTTAGCTGTTTGAAATAAACATAAGAGACAATGTGACTAGGGTAATCAAAATACCAATTTGTTACCGAATGCGAAGAATTACAGTATTAGTCGAAAAAAGATTCTTCATTAGACTTTTTAGAAAACCGATTTTTTGATTTGTCATGGGGCAGAGGAACAGATGGCAAATCGAACATATGTCACATCATTAAAAATATTATTTCCCCTTTCAATGTTCATCTTAATAATATGCGCCTTTTTGATAATCGCCCATATTATGTGCCCCCTTTCTAACTGAGCCTCTTTCCACTTATCTTTTTCGCTTGTGCTCTTCTAAATGAATACGCTCGATACATCTTTAAACTCAGTTTGAATTATGTTTAGAAGAAATTACTTTGTAAAATCAATCTAGCCATAATTTTGATGCTTTGCAGCAATAACCTTCAATTATTGATTCGTGTCTTTTCGTTTTGAGAATTTCGCTAGATTACGATGTTAAGATACATATAGTTTGATACGTAGAAGCAAATAGCTATTTATTTTGATGGAGTTTTGTTCTCTGAGCTGGATGGTTTAGTCGTGGAGCTTTCATCATTCTTCTGAACGACATCATTGGCACAAACTTCAGATAGAAGTTTCCGTTAGCATAATCAGAATATTTATAGTTTATGTACATCTGTCATCTGGGAACGTCTACGTCATGACAAATAATGTAACTGTACATACACTTTGCCATAAACTTATGTAAATGTTTAAAAAAAGAATACAGGTAATTTAATAACACTTTTAATGGTATTTTACTGTATACTAACACTTTTAAACGATATATAACTTTTATGATTATAGGACTGTATCTTTATACTAGAAGTTATAAATTATTCAAATATTTGAGTAATTGATAACCTCATAACTAAAATATAAAAAAAACTTTCAAATTATTTCCCTGTCTCAATGCTATTATTATCTGATAGGGTAGATGAAGTAGAAAGAGAATTCCGTATTACGTGATAATATTGAATGAAACGTGTGAAGTACATAGAAATTGTTTTTAAAATGTTAATGTGAATGACTTTAAATGTATAAATCAAATCATAAATTTTCACCTTGTTATGTACGTAAGTGAAGCATGCTTATTGTATTGTAATCATTGTTTTCTGATCATGCATTATTTATAATTAATATCAAATTAACTTTTATGGGGAGAAAGAATCCTTCCTTTAGTTGAAAGATAAATAGAAGTTAAAAAGCCATAGTTTATATTTGATTAATTTGTAAACCTATGGTTACGTTTATGAATGCGAAAGTTTTTTAGGTGACTACTAAATCACTAGTGTAGATTCAACATTCAGAAAACATTGAGACATGGCACGGTAATGATATGGCTATCTGTCAAAACGTTTTTGACTGCTAAAACCGAAATTCTAATCAGAAAATTATGTGACTTTATTTATTGCATAAACATCGATTATAGCAAAACAACGGCATTGGTTGAAATCAAGAAAGTGCAGACTGAATTCTTTTGAAAAAGTTTCAATGTGGTCATTAGCTTCAGTGAAGCATATTCTGTGTTGAGATATGAGAAATTTGGAGTTAGTCAATAGAAAAACATGGATCCTATGTGACGTGGGTATGAATACCACAGAAAAATTTTTTTCCTTCAAGATTGAAGATACACTTACTGACTAGTATCAGCTAAAATGAAATCTAGATCTAACGTTTCCCGTCGACTACCTTTAACAAGACGAGTTGCTGAGTCACTCAAACTAACGAACATATTTCAGCATAATCGATAAGATTCCTTTAAGGCGAAGGAGTAAATGATTAGGATTAAGTGTTCAGTTGATGTAAAGGTGAACTATTCATATCCATTTTTGTGTTTTAAGTCGATGTTCCTGAACTGTTTGCCAAACCTAATAACTTGAAAGCGGTTTGTTGATCCCGTATACAAACGTAGGCAATTTTATAGTATTAAATTTAAATTTATCCACTGTACAATTACCTACAGTATTGTTAACTATTGTTTAAACAGAAGTAAAACAAAGGTTTTCATTGGTGATTTGCAAACTGTCAGTTGATCTATTCGAATTACTCCCAGTTGTATTTTGTACAGTTAAGGTTAAGATAAATTGAGGGTTTATAAGATAATTTGTACTTGTAATGCTACCACCTACATTTGAACACTCATTTTTAAAATGTGGAGGTAGTTTTTGCCACAAACTATTATCTTCTAGAGAGAGGTGTTTTGAACCAAAATGTATCTAAAATCTGTTTCATTTTATTTTATAGCTTATGAATATTGTTTGATGTCAACTAAATGGGTTGTTTTTTGGCTTGTTACCAATATATTTATAGGTTTGATATCACTGGATAACATTGTTAGTTTTATATAACAAATCAGTAGATTCAATCTCACGATATTTCATCTCATATTATTTTTCGACAATGACTGATCATAATACAATTTGTTAACGTTTCACATAGCATCACATATTACCATTATGTTAGAGCATCAAAAATGTCTTAGCATTTTTAACCTCTTTCACTGGGATCAATACGTTTAGTGACGCAGTACATTATAGAATGATAACTTAAAGATGTCAGTGTTAAAAAAGAAGGATCGAAGAATCAGAACCCATTTTTCAATTGCAATTTCTGTAAGTATTAAATAAAAAGATACAACTGTTCTGATTACAAAACTCCACCTGTAGCTCTTCTAAAGTTACTGCCGGTCCCAAGGAGGAGGGTTGGGCATGGGGTTAACGATCCCATCCCGTATAAAACTAACTCGCTAAAAAAACGCTAATCAGAAAAAATAATTCAAACCACTTAAACTCTGCCCTGAGAGTTAGAAGGTCTTCATTTAAAAGAGTTATGACGTATCATGACGAGATCTGAGTTCCTTCGGAAGCCAAGATCCAATACTTAGAAAGCTGAGTAAGTTATTAAAATTAGTAGTTTACTGAAAAGAAGCGTTTTAGTAATATTTTTGAATTTTGAAGCAATTAGTCCCTTTAATAAATTTCGATAGTATAAATTATCAGAACTCTGATAATCTATTTATGAATTTGACAATTTAATAAGAATATTTGATCCATAAGTATATGTATACATAGAAGATTCATGTTCATTGAAGGTTTTTAAACAAAATTTAAACACGTAAATTAAGTCTTGCTTTATCCAAGATCTCTTTTTGAATTTTCGGATAATTTGGATAAACTGATAAAACCTGTTTTACAAAGAAAAGAAGAAAAGACACAATTTTAAATATAAGCTTATTATTATATAAGGATAGCAACAATACGATTTAGGGCAAAGACAAATACAGTTATAACTATAAATATATAAATTTCTACCTCACTAATATGGTAATACATTTTAATAACAAGTTAACATGCTGTTACTAAGTCATTATCAGTTAATAACAAATTATCTTAGAGATTAAAATAATTTGAACACTTATTTTCATGAATTAATTGAAGCTAGACCACCATAAAGGACCTGGAAGCACTGGACATTCGTTTCGTCCTATTGTGGTACTCCTCAGCATCCACGATCCCACCTCGCAAGATTTAAACCCAGGACCTATCGGTTCCGCGCGCGAATGCTTAACCTCTAGACCACTAAGCTAGCCGGCATCCAATGGTGTTAATGTCTAACTTTTATTTCCCACAAAAAATATTAGTTAGGGAATCATTGAAAATCAAAGAGTACTAGTCAGCTATTTTACCCTGATTCATGAATTTAAACCAATGATAGAAAATATTATATTGAATTGCTAAATGAAAATTCAACGACTTACATTTCTAAATTCAATAAAATCAAAGTGGTACGATTATATCTTTTTTTAAGGATCATACCACTGATTAGTAAACAATAAGTTCTTTTACTGAACTATAATTAGTTACAAGATTATTCTCTATCAATCATAATTAAATTTTATTTCTATGTCTAATTGTGCAGATGAATATTTCTCCTGAATAGAACAGTATTACGTAATCATAAATATAGAATATTTGAGCGAACAATTGTTTTCAAAAACTAATTTATCAGGCTCTACAGTTATAAGTCTATAATTATTCTGTTTTTTTACAAAGGCCAAAATAAGGCATGAATTAATGAATTTGACAGTGTTAAAAATGGTGGATGTTTGAATCTATTACAATACAAATACTTCCAAATTATGTTATTTGTAAATCAGAAGGGTCATTGCATAAAGGTCAGAATGATTTGCAGTAAAGTATCAAGTCAAATCAGTATAGTAGTAATATAACAGAATAAAAATAATAAAAAAATCGTGTGAATAAAATGTATAGTAGGAGAATTTCATTTTGTTAATCGAGGTAATAATAATGATGATGATTGTAATAATAGTGATGATAATAATATCGTTGTATGAATATGACATGTAGTAAGAGGGGTGTTATCAAGGTTATTATGATAAAAAAGAATTCATGTGAATTAGGAAAGATGAATGTGAAGAATAAGAGAGATATAAACGCAAAAGAAATTGGGAGGGACGGATAAGAGGTTTATAATATCCAGTTTAGATATCCGGTGATCCAGTCATGGGTCACAGTAAACATAGAGGATGAATTTGCCTCTTCTGGATAAACAAGTTCTGTTTTCTTGAGTTGATCCCGACGACTTCAGCCATGTAGAGTAGCCGTAATCTTGTTTCTTGAGGTAGATTCTTTGGAACTTGATATAAAACGGAGAAAGCTTCATCTATTTTAATATGATGTCCACTATCTACCAAGTGAAAACAAACAGTAGTGTTAATCGTTTTAGGGATTTTTTTTCCAATTATGATGCTGCATTTTCACGAACACACAAGGATAAATCCTTATGACTACGGACTATGTAATTAGCTTCACAGGAGCAGTTGAACTGGTATACACACTTTACTACACATCATTCTGACATAATTTAGAAGTATTTGTATTGTAATAGATGCAAACGTCCACCATGTTTAACATTGTCAAATTCGTTAATTCTAGCCTTATTTTGGCCTTTGTAAAATACCAGAATAATTATAGACTTATAACTATAGAGCCTGATGATGAAGTTATTGAAAACCAATGTTCACTCAAATATTATATAACATCAAAACATTTTTTCAATGATAAATTGTTTAACCTACTTGTAGGGAAACTTCAATTGCTCCTAAATAATTTTTATTTTTTAAATAAGTGTAAGCCAGTTTATAACCTGTATAAATAAAAATAGGCAGTAATCAGAAAATCATTATTGTATGTTTTATGAATATCTAACAGATATTTTAAAGATATCAATATAAAATAGTCTTTACATGTAATTTATTTGTTGAACAGCAGGAAAACAACGTAATTAACTGATAGGTGGTATCATATTCTGTCATTAGACACAATTAATTTGATAGGAAAATAATAAATATGGTGGAAACAGATGAATAGATGATTCAGCTATGCTTAAGACTATATATATATATATATATATATTACTGTAAAAAGCTTGATGAAAGCTGAGGTCAACTACGTCATTAGGTGAAACTTCAACAAGCGGAAATGTTCAAATTATTACGGCACTAGTGATGAATCAATCCTCGAGCAGTAATTTCTCTGTGTAAGACTTTCAGTTTGGTTTGAATATCCAGCTTATGATGCTCACTAGAATAAGTAATATTTGCTTACTGATTCGTTCTTACTTGATTTCATCAATGGTCAAAATTTAGGAAAGTCAGTCCTATGATTTAGGTAATAACAACATGTACTCTGTAATTACATTTGCATATATTTTCAGTATATTTAGTATGCAGGTAGTAGCAGAATTCAAGACTCTCATTTCTCCATGTTTTTGATTGATTAGATGGATTAGCTAAGAATTTGTAGTCTTGAATATGAACAACAGGAAGTTATAAACTTTGATTAGTGAATCTAATTGTTTTTCTTTAATATTCTATTTATCACAACTTAATAATAATGTATAACTAGTAAGATCAAGGAATTAGCCTATTTTACGCTACAATTATCATACCACAAATAATATCCCTCATAAGATCATTTAAATTCTAAATATGAATTAATATTATTTTCAAACTATATTAGCCATTATTAATGAACTATGTTGCACAATTATGACGACTCTTAAGCATTATCCAGAACTTGAATATCTATAGTATAATAATAGAAATCATATGAAAGAATAGCTTTTTCATAATCATTATCATCATTATCATCGTCATCCTTATGATAAAGCATCCATTTACATTTACTAAATCTCGTACTTGATTTTTTTTATTAAATCCAGTACTATATGTAAAGACAGTGAGAAAAAAATAATTACACAAACATAAACTAACTGAAATACATACAAACAAACATAACCACTCAACATGTAATATTCCCAAGTCACTTTTTACAAACATAACGGTAAAGTTAATTTTTTCGTTTGTACTGATAAAATTTCATTTTACAAAGTGAGAAAAAAGTATAAAACGGAATGAACCCTCCCTGCCCTTCCACCAAAAAAAAACACCGAACGAAGCTGAAGCAATCCAATAGAATTCAAAATGATATTTGAAATTTTCAAACAAACAAACAAACAAACAAATGATCTGACAGAAGTATATGTATTCGTGAATACGATCGAAAAAAAGAGAAGTTAACCAGGGAATGATTAATCAAAGTAATTAGTTATTATAAATTGCATAAGATAACAATCTATTCGATTGTTATATATTTGTCAATGATAAAATAACTGTATGTAAAATATGTAAAAATGGCATGTGATGCTTTTTAAAGTTTTTGTTTGTTTGTTTTTTAGTTATGCAGTACATACTTTGAAGAAAAAACAACAATTAAAGATTAAATACCAATGGGAAATTTAATTCTAATAAAACTTACATTATTTAATAATTAAAAAGATAAGATTATTCTGCATGAAACTAATTTATGTATCTTCAATGGTTAAGATCATGAATTAATTAAAGCTAGACCATCATGGAAAAGCTAGAAGCATTAGATGGCCGTTTCGTTATTTCGTGAGATTCCTCAGCAGTGCACATCTACGATCCCGCATCTAGAGATTCCAGCCCAAGACCTAGCTTTAATTGATTTATGATCTCAACTATTGAAATTACTATAATATCCAGAACAACCCTTCTTATATTAATTTATATCTCATTAAATCTTATTGTACCGCAGTTCATGAAACACTGACGTTCTTAATTGATTACATTTGGCAACTTTTTTAAACTCCCTTAATATTTTTTATGACAAAAACAAACAAACAAATCTACGTAATAATTGGGAAAATATAAATAAAATCTTATTTGCCAATGGTATTTCATAGCCAGGAATTATTTATAACTTAATCTCCCTATACCTGTAATTCCTTCTGAAGAATAAGATTTCTGCCAAAAAAAGTGTTTCATTCCTCTTGGTTCATGAATTTCTTTTACCAGAATTTTTGTTTAATTTACTTGATAACCCCGTATTGTGGGATAATTTATCCTTAATGTTCAGTTAAGTTAATAAATATACGGCTAATTCATCTATAAAAAATGTTGTATAAATGTAAAGATTTGTTTTCATAATGTATGAGTTTGAGAATTTATCGATAGTTTCTTCAGGAAGTTAAGTACAACTGTTTTAATTTAAAGTTTTTTCATCAGAAACAAACGTGAAACATACTAAATAGATTACTACAGAATTAAAAAAAAGAATGATAATCAATTAAGTTATGGCAGTTTGAATACTGTAATCATAACGTTCATTCCATTGGTTTATCTTCAATCTCTTATGCACATGATCACTACTTAAGAGTCTTTGACTATTAAAAACAATCATTTTTAAAATTATATTGTTAGATTTCTCTTACCAATTACAGGATTTTGATGATTTAAATTATTCCAAATATATTCATAATATTTTGCAGCTTCAAGGAAGTTTTGTTCTTTTTCCATAATTAAACCGAAATATTCATAAGCTTTGATGCATGACTAAAATTATAAATCAGAAATATATGAAACATTTATTATCGACAAAATAGAAATAATTTCTTGATGAAATATTTGAGTTCATTTAAAGTATTTAAAGTTAAAAAAAGACAACAGGGCAAAATGAAAACACGATGGCGTTTGAAGCGAATGGTACTGGGTTCGAGTTCAGAGTGAACATCAATTCTGAGACGCAGGCTCATCCAGCTGATGAGTCCCAAATAAGACGAACGCGCGTCCTGAATTCCACTGCTAGACATTATCCATCATTACTTACAATTTATATATATAATCTAACAAATGCAAAGAAAATCTAGTAAGTTTCAGGCAAGTTTACGTGTATTATGTTTTCTTATGTAATTAGGCTTTGTTATGATCGAAATGATTGCTCCCAATACTCTTCGTATTGATAAAAATAATAATAAAATAAAATTATGATTTTTGTCAATTCCTATAAGTATAAAGTGCATAACTTTTTTTGTCATAGAATTATTTACAGTTTCAACACAAAAATAATCAAGATATTTTAATGATTTCTGTTGCATTTACTTCTCATGTAAGTGGAATGTGAAGTTCTTTTGAAACGGTAGTAATCTGCTGGGTATAAACGTATGTCCCTTAGGTCATTCATGTGGGGATTTAATTGTTTAATTAATCTCCTGTGACTACAATTGCATAGAATTTACATGGTACCTTCCATAATATTATAAATAACAAACACTTTTATGATCAAGGTAGACATTTCTGATTTTTAAAAAAGGATTATTACCACGAATTAGACCGTTTCTGTATGGGGTTATTGTTATTTTATGTATAAACAGTTCAGAAAATGGAACTATTGATGACTCGATAATAATTACTCATATTTATCATCTCCCACGTAGGAGTGGGATTTATTTTTTGGGCAGTTTGACTAGATCAGTTTACCGAATATACATGAATAATGGTTGGTAAATTCATTTTTACTGGGTTTATTGTTTTACGATTAACCACATATTGTCAGCCATTTATTAAGCACGATCAACCAATTACACACTGATGAAAACATAAACATAACTTCATAGATAATGAAAATACACTTGAAAATGTATTCCCAGTAGATAATTCATAATAAGATGATGGATAATTTGTTTTATGATGCATTATATAATGCTTTTATAGACCAAGTAATAATTTTAATAAAAACAAATATTTATGATTAATAGCATCATTATATTAAACCACCGAATATGACTTTTTTCGCACATAAATTGACATAATAGATCACTTCGACTACTAGTTCAGCTCAAAAACAACAGATCCTAGAAGCATAAGTTTCAGGACTGTAATAGTCTACGTCCAACAGGAGGGTCTCAGATCAAGGCCGCATTCCATTGACTTAGTCTAAGGAGCTGAATAATGCCATAAGCCTTAAAGCTAGGCACACAAACATGCACTTGATAGATAAATTGAATTGAACCACAAACTGGCTATTAAAATATATAAATTAGAACTGGACTTGCTTAACCACATGCGGTGATACGATATTGAAGTACGAAACATATTTTTACCTAATATGATTAATAAACCTTGTTAAAAATGTTATTTTTCATAGTACTTATTTCATCAGAACATAGAGTGATGCTAAATTTTACAACGACGACACACATCAGGATAAACTGAATGAATAATGTTTCACAACGCCATTATTGTAATGTTTTAAACCTTAATGAATAATATCCAGTTTTGTTCTTAGGCCTATGCTTTTATGACAAAATCGCACTTTACAGTACCCATTATTTAAGGTCTATCCAAAAAGGATGTAAAGTCACTGAGATCTAATTTCACATAATGTTCGTTAGGGTAATTGAGAGATTACATCATCCCAGTCAAAATTTAAAGCCGCTGCTGTAAGATAATTATGATATTATCTAGAATAAAAATTAGTTTGTTAAAAAAATGTAAAATATTGATTATTACTAAACTGGAAGTATCTATAGGATGCATTAAAGGCAGAAAAAGTATAATAAAGTGAATATTTATATTCCTAAAAACTGACTTCGAAAATATAAAATCTAATTTTTGGTAATCTTAAATCGCGCGACATCGTGGACTAATTGGAGTTAGAAATTGACGCCTCTGGATGCCGGCTCAGTGGTCCAGAGGTCATGCGTTTGTGTGCGAGATCGGAGATTCTGGTTTCAAGGCCAGCGCGCGGGATCATGGATGCACACTGTTGATGAGTCCCATATTAGGACGAAAAGGCCGTCCAGTGCTTCTAGTTTCTCAATGGTGGTCTAACATGGATCGGTTTATGGTTTCAATGAAACCTCAAAATAGCAGTAGAAATACTTTCTATTTATGTGGTTTGTTGTGTTTGATAAGTAGAACTTTTAGGTAAGTAAAACTTGAACTGATTGTCTAAATAAATAATATTTTCACAGATTGAAATCATGAGTCAGTTGAAGCTAGACCACCTTGAAAACCTGGAAGCACTGGACGGCCGTTTCGTACTAGTATGGGACTCCTCAGCAGTGCGCATCCACGATCCTGCACCCTGCGGGATCCGAACCCAGGACCTACTGGCTTCGCGCGCGAGCACTTAACCATTAGACTACTGAGTCGGCATCCAACGGTGTTAATGTCTAACTTCAACTAATCCACGAAGTTGCACTTCAACTGACTCATGATTTCAATCTGTGCAAATTTCTAAAATCTCCACAAACCCCTTCTGATACTAAATAAATAATAACCAAACTAGAAATGTCATAAAATAAAAGTATTTAAGATTAAAATGATGAAAACATTCAGATGTTACTTACTTGAACTAACAAATATATAAATATATATTTATATATTACTTGTTTATTTAAAAAAAACAGTGTATCTGTTACATAATAACATCAAAATTCAAAAATAATATTGTGATGAAATTCAGAAGAGAAATACAATGCTTGAAAATACAACTGAAACAATAACTCAGTTAAGATCACGGGGATTCAGTTAAAAGTGACATATTGTTGTTTCTGAAGAACGCAGTGAAAGATCTCACTAGAATTGATACTGGTTTCTGTTGAGAAAGAGCATTGAGTGTCTCTTGAGTCATTAAGTTTCACAGTTATAAAAACATGATTTGAATAACCTCAAGTAATCAACAAATGCTGATCTAAAATAGATGTCTTCTTAGAATAAGGGCTTGTGTAAACTGTTGAATTCTGTAGTTTACATTGCACATTAACTCTCGTTAAGTAACAATAAAAAATCAGGGGACTCTAGATATCTGTTTCATTATATTTAGAAATTCACTTCCACGACACCAGGATTGTTCGAACACAGGGACTCAAAAATTAGGATGAAACATCTTATATTCAAGTTCACTGAGTTTGAGCCTAATGGTTTACATTCCTAATTAAATTCGAGTATGTTCTGTCGACTTGACACGTTTACCACAACTGTATACAAAATGTTGAATATTAAATGTATTTGAATTACGTGTATTTCAGATTTGCTAATACTCAACGACAGACAAGCAATAAAGGATTCAGCGATTGGAGATCCATAATACACTGATTACGAGAATAATTAGGCAACTTATTTTTTGTAATTGTTTAAAACACATGAAGTATATGTACCACCAGACATACAGGTATATAGGATGCTCAAGGTTACACTGGTTAACTGGAATGAGAAAATATCTGGGTGACAGAGGAACAGTAAAGATTCGAATAATTCATCTGTCCAAAGGTTAGAATAAATCATGTGTGGATGTTACAATAATAACAGTAATAGGCTTACTAAGGTGTTATAAAACATGTCATTATTTTATGGTGGCATACCGTAGACTGATCACGTAACCGCTTTTTTACTTAGTTCTTGCATTGACAGTAAGGAACTCACTGAAACAGCATAAAACAATAAACTTATACGGTTTTTCTAAACAATAACTGGGAACAGTTAAACAGTATAACATAATAATCTTATATTCATTACGTTTAGTTACAATAATTCTCATACCTTATTATACTTGAGACATTTTTTAATAGCTCCTGACAAGCTTCAAGTTTACACTTTGTATATACATATCAACCAAAAGTAACCATGATTTTTCTAATTCTTCAGCATCCTAATCAAATATGAAAATTTAAAACAAAGACATTAAAAATGTTCAATAATAATAACAGTAGTAATTGATGTTTTGAAAGCTGCTATGTTGTGCAACCAATGACAACTATATCAATAAGTAATTATGTACAAAAAGATTGAATAGTTCGTGAGTTTCTTCAAAGTTTATAGAAGCTTTCGGCATAAGAAAACTCAAATCACTTTAATGTATACAGAATAATTCTTTTCTCATCTTGTGTCCGCCTTAGTAATCTGCAACTAACTTTACAGTCCCAGGAGAATTTCATATTACCTTCATATTACTTTTTCTCTTCTTTATTTAGAATTATCAATTTGCATATTCATTGAACTTAATTGTTATAGTTTAATTCAAAAACTGGTCTTAGCTAAATTAGCACTAAAAATTAGGAATCACTGGAGTGCTATTTAGTTCTAGCATGAGAATCATTAGCAGTGCGCATACAGAACATTGCCACAAACAAACAAATTCAGAACCGGCTTTGCTCATAAACAATTGATCTCTAGAAAAATAAACCAGCTTCCAGTGGTATACTTTTTTTTAATTTTAAGCAACCAGCAGTATTGCGCGTTCATTGTCCATTACCTGTAATGAATAACTGTCGCATACCCGACATGGCGTGGTCGTGAATCTCCAATGCTAAAGAGTTATCTTTTACTTTAGAGGATAAATTAAAATGGTTATTATAATAATGGTACGAAAGATTAAGTTAAATACATTAATACCAGATTATTCGTATGAAAGAAGATTCAGAGCATTATATATATATATATATATATATATATATATATATATATATATATATATATATATATCAGTTCATAGAGTCTTCTAACAATATCACAGCGTATTTTAGGATACTTTCATTCTGTTCATTCATTTACACTTAGGGATTTTTGTTATGCAATTATTTCTATGTAGTTCAAAGTTTGATAAATAACCAAATTTTACAAAAATTATGCTATTGCTCATGTTTTAGAGCCTATCAAATCAGATCCAGTTTTGATCACGCATATATAGAAAAAAACATTTGATGGGAAAATAATATGGGAATGTTTATACGAATATTCGTTAAGATTAGAACGAATAGTTTGACAGAAATTGGGCGCCGAGTAAAGAGAAGTCATTATATGTGAAAATTATATTTGAAATAATCTCAGTGATTGAAATTTAAATAATTCCAATGTTTCGTCCAGCAAACTTGTCTGGAATTCTTCAGAGTAACGATCAAAATCAAAATCAAAAGTATGGCACAAATTGATTTTGATTTTGATTGTTACCCTGAAGAAGTTCAGACAAGTTAACTGGACAAAACATTGGAATTATTTAAATTTCAATCACTGAGATTATTTCAAATATAATTTTCACATATAATGAATGTGGGAATGTGTTGTGAAACTATACACTAAAAGAACAGATATTTTAATTATTTGTGAAGATTATATTTTAAATAATCTCAGCGGTTGATACGTAAATAATTCCAACGCTTCGTTGAGCAAAACTGTCTGGACTTTCAATAGCTGGGATTATTGTAAACATAATTTCCACAAATAATGTCCAGTCTATATTTGGAGCCCAAACTTTATCAAACTATTCGTTTTAATATTGATGAATATACGTATAACATACATTAATTGTTTAGTGGTCTTTTTATTAGGTTCGAAGTTAAACGAAATATCGGACAATTTAGACAAATATTGTCTATAAAGAATAAAGACCTAACTTATAAAACATGTGAGCTTCAACGATGAAGTTACAGATCAGCAGTAAGGTATTATCATTATCTCTCATACACCTAAAAACGTATGGCACAAATTGAGTACATCAACCTGTAACCGAAATGTCAGTTGCGTCGGTAAATTTATTAATAATGACTAAAAATATCCAACCACTTTGAGAATTTTACTTTAATAAGTAAATTCTATTCGTAAAATTGACGGATTAGTAACTTATAAGTGTAAACTTGATAAACACAGGTTGAAGCAAAAACTTTTCACTATATGAAAGTAGAGACCAGTAGATTGCACACATTATGAATTCCCATCTTATAAAAATCTTTCTCTTTTACCTACTGACTGCCATTGAATATTAATAATTAGTTTATCAATTCATTTAGAAAGCTTTATAGTCTCAAGTTGCTATAATATGGAGTACACAAACTGTACCACTTGGTACCTCAATATCCAATGATGAACTATTACATGACAAGGTTGGAAATAAGCAATCAGGAGGCCAAGTCAAAGAATGACGTCAGTCACTGGGAACAATAACTTTTTTCCAAAATATGTTCAATATATATGAATTATAATATCATTATTATTATCCATAATTTATCTTGATGAAAGCTTCATTAATTCCTAATAATTAAAATGTATGTTACTTTGTTTATTCTAAATGTAACGCATGCATTAGCTTTTAGGCTCTGTTTAAGGAATGCAAATTATGTTAGAAATAATACCATGGACAGAGTATTCATTAATTGTTTACAACATATAACAATTATTTTAAGAAGGAATTTCAACAATACAATCTAATTAGTGAGATTTCATTTTATTCAGATTGTTGTAAGCATTTCCAATCTAAAATGTATTGTATATCACAAATGACATGGGATTTGTAAATTTTTGTACCCCAGTAGGCAACATTATGAATATAGTGTTTATTTTATTCACTTCTTATATTATTAATAAGATCAAGGTTATTTTTTTAGTGCTACTACCGTAAAAAAGCTGAGTAATGTATAATGTTTAATGTTACTCATTGATTGTATGGAATACCATTTTGTTTGATTAGTTGAATTTATTGAATTACACAATCACAAACTATATATTTCACAACTCATTATTTTCAGAAGGGGTTTTTGTGGATAGTATAGTAATTTCAATAGTTGAAATCATGAATCAATTGAAGCTAGTCCACCATGGGAAACCTGGAAGCACTGGACGGCCGTTTCATCCTATTGTGGGATTCCTTAGCAATGAGCATCCACGATCCCGCGCCGCGAGATTTGACCCAGGAACTATAGGTCTCGGGCGCGAATGCTTAACCTGTAGACCACTGAGCTAGCCGGCATCCAATGGTGTTAATGTCTAACTTCAAGTAATTCACGAAATTTAGCAACAGATCTAAAATTGTCTTCAGTGAGTAATTGACTCTAGAACAGACCCGGTTGAACTCCATTGGCCACTGATTCTCACTAGAACTCCATGAACTACCTCTTGAAGCCTGTCACTAGTGAGCATATGCTGATTAGTATCAGAATGGGTTTTATTTATTGATTTTATTGACATAATACAAGATAGTTTGCTTTGGCGAGTATGTGGACTCATAAATTTATTCGTAACATTCAGATTTATATATTGTGCCAGTAACGACGTAACCATCAAAGGTATTGTGAAAAATCAACAAGAACTGAATAACTATTTTATCCTAGCGTGAGGTATCTCAGGACCGTGCATTCGTAACCACACCAGGGATTGAATCTAGGACTTTCAAGCCTCGAGGCGAGTGATGAATCTATAGGTTGCTAAGTTGTTATCTAATCATTTATATTTGTAAACTTCGTCTATTCAAACTGCAAAACCACCATAATACTCTGTAGTACATTTTGAAATGTCTAAATTTAGGATAATATTTATAAAGATATGTATTTCATGAACATTTTAAGCAGCATTATCATTTTGTATGCTAAGCAATATGCCGAATATATTCATAAGGAATTCATTTCATAAATTAAGTTTATATAAACCAGCACATATCTTCTTACATTGTTTGCTATTACAATTTGACGAAGATATCGAATTGAGCATTATCGTATCAGTAAATTTCAGGTAACAGTTAATAGTTAGTTATTTTTAGATATCAAATAATAAAATACTGTTAGTTATAAACGGGATACAGAAAGAAGTAAAGTGGCCACTGTTTTTAAAAATGAAAGGCTCGAAAACAAACACATATAAACAAAAGTTTGGAAACAATCTGCGATAATTTTAGAAATCAAATAAGTGATTGACTGGATAATGTTTATTTTGTTGAAGTCATTGGGCGATCATTCCTTGTTATGTGGTATTTTGATTAACTGGTACTGATAAGGTTATGAAATATGAATATTTTTAGTACCGTTATTAACTTATAATAGTTTTAACTAAGCATAAAGACAACAGGAATCTTCATCCCAATCACATCTGAAGTTAACAGTAAAACTGAAAGAAAATTGAAGAAAAACTAAAAAATGTATCCTTCACAATGAATTATACTTTTCTCTCTAGTGAAAAGAGATAGTAACAACAATAATCAAAGTTCACACTAACGATTTATTTAACATATTAGATTATTTCACTTTACATCTATGATCATTTTGTCATTATTACAATCGAAATAAGAATAGTTTATAGAAATGTTATATCAAAGGAATGTTATAATAGTAATGTTATTATGATTAATACATTGGATTATCATTTTTATTCTATTTAATACGATAGAATATCAAAGCTCGATAGCAGTAAACAAAAAGAGATTGTATTTGAACGGTGAAAAGTTTACATATCCATGTATATATATATATATATATATATATATATATATATATATATATATATTATGTGTAACCTTTTAACGTCTTAAAGTATGTAAACAATATTGTATGGGAACAGAATGAATAGTAACCGATTGTTTCATTGGAATTGTTTTTCATTAAATCTAAATCATTAAGTGTTCAACATTTGTACAATGTTCTAGTACTTATTTATTTTATGTAAATTTTTTTCTTTTTGCTAAGCGTAGATGTAATAAAGTTTCATTTTAACAGATAAAACATGTACATTACCATAAACTTCTATTTGCTTACAAATGAATTTGATATGAAAAATGTTTAGTTGTAATAACAAATACTTCTGTAGTTCACTTATACTTTTCTTCTATTGTTGTTTAGATCTACAATTGATCAGTCTCTTGTTGGCATATGTGCATACTATGCAGAATGCATCAATATTGCCTTAAGTTACAACCTTTATAAGCAAAGATGGATAGTGGCTAGCAGTAGAATCCAGGATGTGCGTTTTGTTCTATTTGGGACTCGTCAGCAGTATGTACCTGCATCCTACAGTTGAGTTCCAAATAGGATAAAACGCGCATTTTGGATTCCACTGCTAGCCATTATCTTTCTCTGTTAATACTTCAGTAATTGTTAAATATTTCTGTACAGAAAAGAATTCTATGAAAATATTCAAAGTTAATTTTATTTATTTTTTTTATTTTATTATTATTAATGGCTTTATTCAATATTATATTTTGGTACAATATAGAATTCTCAGCACAGGGTATTTCAACAAGTTACTTATGCAAATAAAAATAGTAACAAAGACAAAAAATAAAGTTTAAAAAAAAAGTCTGAAAAACAGTACAACATTTGAAATTAAAGTCATGTTAAGAATGCAGGTTATTGGCTAGGTTAACTCTAACAACCTGTTCGTCACAGAGTATATTTGCTAGATAAGGTATTATAGAACATTTGTACTTTTGCTTGCGTGCATGGATTTTAATGTAATTACGTCTCGTTCTACCAGAAGATATACAAGGAGAAAGATAAGAGTGAAGGGGATGGCTAGTATCTGATAAAATGACACCTGCCAGGAGTTTGCATGATTTTAAATGTCTATCCACAACCATATTAATTATGACCTCGAAAGATTCACCACACACCTTGCTAACTGCCTTCAGCACTCTTCGCAATACAGCAAAGTCTTTTCTCAAAAGCCCGGGAAAGAATAATGGAGAACAGTAAAGAATAATAGGTAGTATGCAAGAATTGACAAATTGTAAGAGTAAATGACGAGTAATTCCAAGAGCATGCAATCTCTTTATGTAATAGGTCAGACGGAAAACCTTCTTCGATAACGATAAAACGTGGGAAGACCAAGACAGATCAGAGGAAAAGGTGACACCAAGATAATTGACCTTCGAAACTGAGTTTATCAAAGAGTCTCCGATGGTACAAGCACTATGGGATCTCAAAATAGTGTTTATATTCCGTTTATGTCTCATGCTAAAGTTAACAGCTTGACATTTAGACGGATTAAGTATGAGACCATTACCAACAGACCAACAATCAATACGAGACAAAAACTCATTCATTTCTATGGGATGTAAAGAGGAAGATATAGGCATACATACAGTGAGGTCATCCGCATACTTCACAAAAGTGTTTTCTGTGGAAGATGGCAGATCATGCAGAAAAAAAGAGAATAGAAGAGGTGAAATACAAGTGAGATACAAGTTATGAAAGCAAGAAATCATCACAGCTTAATATCGATCGATACATCATACAAAATTTGGTAGAGAGTGGATAAATGTTCTGTCACTTTAACAAGTCTCACTCAGAAGCTATATAAGCAATAAAACAAAAAAACTTTTACTTTTATAGTAAAGATGACCCAGTGGTAAACATTAAAAGCCTTACGTATATTGTGACAAACAAGTATAGTCAGATAGAATACTGATCTAAAGGGATTATTTTATAATTGTTTGATTGTATTTATTTTTACATCAATGAAACAGTAATGGATTAATTTGATTTTGGTGAATGATTTTATATGGAGATCTAATACTATCATTTTATCACTAGTGTTTCTAAAATACTGTATATATATGGTGAAACAAGGCGATCACTTTGTACATGGTTTTATTGCGATTAAAGAAACTGATTATCGACTTGTGAATGTTTCATCATTGTAGTTATTAGGATATGTGTAAGTTAAGAAGACCTAGTCAGTTGAAGTTTCTCAAAATCAATGAATGATAATTAAGTTTACTCACTATTTACAATGTTTTGATAGAACGCCCATGATGGTAATGATATCTTGTATATTCAACATTAATTTCGAAGCATGATAAAACTCAGAAATCTACTGTAATACAAGGCTAACAGGTTTCAAAACACAGCGATAGTAAACACATCTAATCCGCGATACTATGTATTATACTGTTAAGCCAACAATGAAGGTTTAAATTTAGAAATTAATGTTCCATTCATCAAATGGTTATAGGTTATGAGTGTCATAGAGATAGACAGCCACCTTTAAAACATATCTTCAGGCTATTTTTTTCTACCTCCAAAGCATCCTTACCCAAAACTAAAGTAATAATTTTTCAACAATCATTGCTATTATTATTAACGACTATAGATGATCATCGTTTCTTCAAATTCAAAGACCTTTTATCAATAGCAATCCAAAATTTAAAAGTATAAGCCTTTTTCCAAATTTACTTTTCATCTAAACAGAATAAGTACTTAGATCCAGGTTTTGTCCTTAATACTGAATGTTAATACTAGACAGATGTCCGATATTCTTTAATTTTCAATGACTATCCAATTTCATTTAGTTTTTAATGTCTTCAATGTCTTTGTAGATATTCACTAACTATCAGATCTAATCATTGTGAAACTAATTCAAAGTTGATATAAATGATCCAAAGAAATCATCATTTAGTTAAATGATTAATCCAGAAGTTTTATATTGATGATTTGATTATTTTATATTATGTCATTTATATATTAACGCTAATAAAACTATTGAAAGTAAGATCATTCATTTTTCATTAGAATTTGAATAACTTTGAAAAACTGTGTAAAACAAATTTATATAATAAATAATTAAATTAGAATTTTACTTGAAAATTCCAAGATACTTTTGCTAATCGCTTCAATTGATTTCTGGCTTTCTGACATTGTTTTAATTGTATATAACAAACCGCTGCACCATAAATAGGGGCCACGCTATCTGGCTACAGACATATAAATAAATAAAAAAATTTCTAGAGTTAACTAATTCAAATATTGAGGTTTCAATTTAATATACGACGAATCACGTCTAATAATATGGGGGCACTGGACTTTATTAGCCGAGATAGATGGTGGCTGGCAGTAGAATCCAAGACGCGCGTTTCATCCTATTTTTGGCACGTCAGCAGGATGTACACGCATCCTAGAGTTAATGTTCACTCCAGAACTCGAACGCAGTACCGTCCGCTTCAAACTCCATCTCGTTATCCACTTAGCTACTGAGTGTAGATAGCCACTGGCTTATTTAATGGGGTAAAGTTTTAATTCATTTTTGTATTGCTTGTTTGGCATAAAGGTACTAGATTAAGATCTTCTGTAATTTCAATAACTGGAAGTGTCTTTATCAATTCTAAAGCCTTACAGTAATCATTGAAATAGATCTAACAAAGTAAAATATTCTATTAGATGTAATATTAAAGTTTAATAATCAATGTCCCGAACAATCACGACATAAACTCTACGAAATGACTGATCCAGTTATTAGTTAGAAATAAAAAAAATAAACAAAATTCAAGGTTACATTTAGCCAAGAAATTTTTCTATATTTAAAAATCATTTTTAAACATATCCACAAGTGAAATTATTATGTATCATTTATTTCATATTTGAATTTGAAATTTACATTTTCCCGCGCTTTTGCATACAATTTACTGATAACGACCAAAATATCATTTATTTTTTATTATATTTCCTTTAGTCTACTCTTATATATAGTATTTTGCTTCTATCCGAAAAGAATATTTCTCCTGTTAATAATACAAAGCTTTCCCACAAATACCTGAGTTTTCTTTTCTCAAGACTTAAAGTTTAGTCAAATAATTATTCAATGTGTCACTGAACAGGTTCCAGTGATTGTTTTAGAAAGTTCGTTACAGTTCTATTATTTGTAAACGATACCGAACAAACACCAAAAACAGTACAGGTGAATCAGATGTTATTCGATTAATTAGTGTAAAATGTATTTAAACTATGTTAAAATATTTTAAAAATAACTTGAATAGTTTAACAGTAAAAGGCTCACTAATATTCTTAGACTGGTTTCATTTGAATATTAATAATCAAAATGATAGTTACGAATAGTACAACGGAACAACAAGAATATTATGTGATCAATCAATATACATATCTGAATAAATCAATGTCATGTCATTTCGGCCAAGGTGAATGATAAGCGATATGTATGTAGATTGTTCCTTTATATTATTTAGATTCGGGTTAATTTCGATTTGGTTATTTATTCACTGAGAAAGTGGCTTATATCAAGTCACGAAACGACAGAATATCTAATTTTTCTACTCATAGGGATATTACAAATATATTATTTATTTATAACAATCTACCTAATGCCTAATTTATTCTAAATTATCGAGTCAAACTTTGGTAATGATACCTACCAACTCGATAAATAGTTTATATTTTTATTTAAACATTACAGAAATATGAGGTATTGAGTAATTTTTTTTATGTGGATACTATACACCTAATTATCGGTTGAGAATATTAAGTTGGACATGGATAACTAAACATTAGAATATAGACATTTATGATAGATGAATTTTAGTGAATGTTAATGGGAATGTACTGTATTGGATTATTTTGCTTATTTCTATATTTTAGGTATATCATTAGTTTAATTAAATGTAGACTAGTTAATTATCAACTATTTATTCCATGTTTTCATTTTGCAAATCCTGAACAGCTACGACAGATTTTTTTTGTATCTGCAGACCTGTATAGTTTATACCATGAAAAAATCAAAGTTAGGTAACTATCGAACAATCAGAAATAATTGGACAACTGTTTCATTGTGTACGGGACATTTTAGTATTGCTTATTCCCAACCCCATCATGGTGAATTGAACCTAGGACTTTCAAACTTCATTCCATGAGCGTAGCATATAAACTACTGAAAAGGCTTTCGTTCAATTATTTAAATTTCTCACTTTGATCGATTTGCGATTTTGCGTATTCGTGTTCTAATGCCTTTGGCAAGTAACTGTCTTACATCAGACGTGATTGGAATTTACAAGTCACGGTTCCCCATCACAATTCCAAGAATCTCTTATGGAAACTAGTCACCAGTAAGTAAATAGTTACTGTAGGTACAGGGGCTTTGTGGATTTACCGGTTGAATTTACTAGATGAAACGAGTTATGTGACATAAAACTCATATCGCACGATTTCTTTTAATGCCAATAAATAAATCAAAGCGAACCATAAAATTCTGAAGAATGATGCAATAACCCCGAATTGCAAAAAGATTAAAACAATATTGAACTAAAGTTTAAAAGTAAATCAATCCAAGGAATAATACAAATATATGACAGGTATTTCGGTAAAAACAAATAGTATCACATGTCATGTAAAAACAAGGTGAATTTAGTGTATAATACATTATATAATTTATCATTTCTCTATTCGAAATATCTTACATCTTTATGTGACATTTCAGCAAATGTTTCTAAAGCAGATTCTAAATGTTCTTTCGTTTTTGTTGTTAATAATAATAGGGCTGAAATAAAACGATATCGTCTTTTTAATTTAATCAATTTCAATTCCTACAGACAAGTGTAAAAGAAAAACAAAGTGAAAATTAAGCAAAATGTGGTAGAAATCGTAGCAAAAAAATGAAAATAAAAAATGTCATTATCATCAGAAGGGGGATTTGTGGCGATAGTAGTAATTTTGAAAGTTAAATTCATGAGTCAATCTAAACTGAACCACCATTGAAAACCTGGAAGCACTGGACGCTTGTTCCATTCTAGTGTAGGACTCTTTAACAGTTCACATCCATGATTTCGCAGGTAAGACTCGAACCCAAAACCCTAGGCCTCGCACGCGAACTCTTAACATCTAGACCACCAAGCTGGAATCCAACGTTGTTAATATCTAACTTCGATGGATTCATGATCTTGAGCAACCCTAGTCTAGAGGTCAGACGTTCGCGCGCAAGACCGGAGGTCCTGAGTACGAGTACCGCGTGTGGGATCGTAGATGCACACAGCTTAGGAGTCTCATACCAAGAAGAAACGGCCGTCCAGCGCTTTCGGGTTTGACCCATGAACTCAAATGATAAAAAATTGTTATACTCTACATTAATTTAAATAAAGTTTTAGAAAACTCAGTTCGACAATACGCTATTAATTCTATCTCATTTAGATAATTTTTGTTTATTAAATGGGACTATTCATTGTTTTTCACTTCGTGATGGATCCTTTACTAACATTTAGAAGAACTGTTGCATTTTCTTGTTGATCACTTTTTCTCATATTCATCGTATATATAACAATCGCTCAGTTGGTTTATTGACCAACATATATCTTTATTTAATAATTGAGAAAGAATAACATTAATCAAATAACGAAAATAATGTTCTTTACTAGGACTATTGTCCATTCAGTCGGTCAGAATAAACGTAATGCTTGACAAAAACATGCATTAGCTCAAGTTGAAATACAAAATTGTCATGACAAGACGAAATTAACAAGACAAATTGTAAAAGGGTTGAAAAGATGTAGTAGCAGTGATAATAAAGATAACTGAACATTGATTCCAAAAGACAGTAAAAAGTTCTGTATGAAGGGATACTAGGACTCAGGAGCAAGAGAAAAATAAAGATTGATTACGTCTGTGCCACTGCGATGAATTTCCAGGCACATCACTTAACATCCCTAACCACTGGTAGAGGTTATGTCATCGGGTCAACTTAATAAACGACCTAAATCACTAACTGTGCGTTCCTTAAGATTAGTACTAAAAAGTGTGGATGATGAATAGTTTAAAATTTAATGACCAACTTTCCTTACCTTTAGTAATTGTTCAGCTGTTTCATAACCAATATTACAGTTTCTTGTTAACTCATCACCATAGTTAAAATCATTTGTATTATTTGAATTTTTATTATTGTTACTATTAGTTTGTAAAAAAGGTTCAGTACCTAATAACTGATTATCTGGATTAATACATATTTCAACCATTCGATATATTGCCATTTCTGTGTATTCAGGATCTTTTCGGCATCGATTGAAATAACTTAAAGCAATAGATAACTCACTTGTGTAACTAGAAATAATAAATTGGGAAAATATAATTCTGAATTATAAATCTGATTAAACATGATATATTGCCAGATAAAAGTTAGAATGATATTCGCTAAATTATGAGGAACTATTCAAAATGGAAAATTGATCATGATTCAATGATTTTTACTAAATTTACTACCGTTACTTTTGGAATCAGCCATGTGTAATATCTATACTACTAATATGTGAACATGAATTCTATGGAAGAGTCATGTTTGATTGAGATACAAAAACGTGTGATTTTACATTTATAAGAATAAATCACGATCTTATTGTAAAGATGTATTTTTGATGATGATTAAGATATATAAATCTTCAAAATATCATACAAGTCCATTGTGCATCAACTGGTAATCATTAAGTAAAGAACCTAATTAATGTCTGTGTCATCACATGTTGATTAGTGTTACATATTAGAATATAAGATTATTTGAATTTCAGATTTAACAGACAACAAATTGATTATCATAATCTTTTCGAAACTAGTAAATTTATATATTGCGCTTAAGGAGTGTTAGTTTGGTTAATTCTTTGATAAACAAAACAAACCATGTTTAGTATAAGGCAGCTATTCATCAGTGAGACTGGGTAGTATCATGACATGATTGAGGTTAAACATTTAAATTACGGAATGAATGCTGGGAAAGTAATCTAAATAATAGGCGCTTGCTGCGAGATCGAAGGTATCTGGTTCGATCTTCTGTAGTGAGGATCGTGGCTACTCACCTCTGACCAGTTTCATTTTAGAACAAAATAGCTGACTCATAATCCCTGGTTTTCAATGGTTGTTCGAAGATTATCAGTCCACTCTCTGTGTTCTCCCAAATTCTAATCTTCTGAATCCTTCATGTCCTTTTTTTCCTCTTTCCAAATTTATTTCACTGTATTATACTCTTTAGGTAACATCTCCAAACCCTAATCTTCCCGATTACTGCTTATACTCTTATTACCTCTACCACTACGGGATTTGAATCGACAACTGCATCTCTGTGCTAATGTGGTGTGGCAACTCGAACTGATGTACGTACGTACGAAGTTCTACGTTGTTACTGACTGACTGACTGACTGGATCAGTCTATGATGCATACTACAAGAAATAATTCGTGCATTTCAAAAATGAATTTTTAGATTGGATCGATTTAAGAAGATACCACTTAGAGTTCATTCTGAGTACATATAGCTCAGAGGATTAAAAAAATCTTACTCGTAGTTATATCGTTCAAAGTATTAAAGCATATTTAATGCAATACATTGACTCAACAAACAATATAGTTTTAACAGAGGTAACTCTTATCCAATGAAAATTCATCTATTTTTCAAATATGTGTAGCGTCTGTGGAAATTTGTATAAGATGACATTAGATTGTCAAAGTCAACTATCAAGAATTTATATTTTACGTACTGAAGTAAGTTGAAGACTAAACTGGATTACACAATATAACATAAAATACATTGAGCGACTTAATTGCTTCACAATATTTGGTAATATTCTGTGACTATTACAAGCACATTAGTTACAGAGATAATTGTGATATATGGTCATAAGGGCTTCAACTTAAAGATCTCGTTAAACTGTAGCTTATAGGACGCTTAACACGTAACTTTCTAAAATAGACTTATTGCTTAATAACATTACCAGTAACCAGTGGCTGGTCTAGTGTTTAGAATGACTTAGTATATACCTGTTTTAGATTTTCATATTTAACAACACAGTGGAGGAAGTTAATTACTGTAAAACAAAGTATAAAATAACCTCAAATAAATTGTTCTACAAAAGCTAAAGGTTTTACATCTTGAAAGTAAATTGACTATTTGGCACACCAAGGTTCATAGGAGCAATTTTAAATCATACCATGTACAACTTTCAACAATGTATTTCCCTGGTTTTAAAAACACTTCAGCCTTCAGAGATACTGTGAATTAAACCGTGCATAGATCAAACAACTATAAACTGTACTCCTACTTTAGTTGTCATTTCATGTTAAGGTCAGTGTAGTATAAGTTACATAAGACGGGTGATAGGTAAAAGAAATCGGCTGCTAAATATTTTAGTTGTTTTTTAGGACGTCAAACTCATTTGTTTATTAATTTTTAACTTAAATTGGACGAAGTATTATGGTATCAAGATTGTTTGCGTTCTTCAAACTGATTAATTAACAGCATAGATTTTAGACACTTCCTAATGGAAATTAGTAATAAACGATATCTTTTTGAAAACTTTCATTGAACCAACAAGAAATGCTGTCGAAAATCGCATTTCCATAGATTATTTGAGGACATATAAATATACATAATGATTCTGAATAATTGTTTATTCTCAGTGAATACACAACATAACACCAAATAATCACATTATTATTTAACATTTCATTCTATACAGTAAAACTGACTATATTTCCTGTTGACATTGTCATTCTAGCTTTTATTAATTTCGATGAAAGGTATAATGTGACAAATTAGATATACTAATAACACAGAATATACTCAATTCATTCTATTTGTAAGTTGAGTGAAATTTCTGATTATGTCATGTTTGGTAATTATCTGTATCCATCGATCAATTATAGATTATTTGTTCTCAACTTATGCATTTAAAAGTTAAAATAGTTCTTGTAAGATATGTCATTCAATCTGTGAAGGTCATATCATTCTTCAGTAGTCTCTTGTACAAAGGTATTGAAGTGCGTAGTAAAATTTGAGACTTCTGTTTGTCAGTTATGATTATAGTATAGGCTTCAGATTATTAATAGTAACAGTTTTTATCGCGAAACGCTGTCCCTAGTCACGTATAAAACTTACTTGACATATAATACAATTTTTTAATAAGTAAAAAAATATTTGATACAGTATATATTACTCACAAATGATAAATTCCATTACAGTAGTTCAAACCACATGAAGCTTCGGCTTGAGAATCATATGATTTAGCTTTTTCTAAATATTCTGGAATACGTGACAATAAACCACATCTTCTATAAGTATCAATCAAACTTGAAAGAGCTTCATAGTGACCTAAATTAGAAATAGATGTATTTGAACACAAAATTACAGAACATCTGAGGACCATACAGTAAATAATTGATTTGCAAAATATCAGTCAATCGTCTTAGACTATATTGTTCTTTCGTTTCAACACTGTTCATTCTCTATTTCCTATTCTATAAAGAAATGTACTTTCGTAGAATAGTAAATTCATAATAACAACAACAAAAAAACTTTTCATCTTTACAAGATTAGATCACATTTTTATTAATGGAACATTATGATATCAGTGTGTACTTTTGTGATCCATTGTCATTAATACGAATTATCTTTTTATATTAATTTCAATATAATCTACACATTACATTATAACTTACATGGATTTCTATGTAATACATATTCTAAATGTTTATTTGCTATTTCAAAATCTCCTTTTATTATCATCAGTCTAGACATAAATATTGCAGACAATGGTATATTCGGTATATAAGTTGATAGATAAATTGAATCATTTATATTTTGACTTTTTTGTTGTTGCTGTTGTTTTTGTTTTTTCTGTTCTTCTTTTAATGACACAGAAGTAAGTTTGACGGAATTCAAATCACTACTGACATTTTTCATATTTTCATGAGTGTAAACAATTTCAATTATTTCCTTTAAATCATACAAAAAAAAGAAAATATAACACATTTAGACAAGATTAATGAGAAGCAGTGACCAGTGGAGTTCAACCGAGTTAGTTGTGAGGTAGTAACTCACTGATGAAAATGGTGGATGTGTCGCTCAGTTTCGTGGATTAGTCGAAGTTAGACATTAACACCGTTGGATGCTGGTTAGCTCAGTGGTCTACAGGTTAAGCGCCTGGCGCGAGACTGAAAAGTCCTTGGCTCGAATCCCGTGAGGCGGAGTCGTGGACGCGCACTGCTGAAGAGTCCCACAATAGGACGAAACGTCCGTCCAGTGCTTCCAGGTTTTCTATGGTGTTCTAGCTTCAATTGACTCATGATCTCAACTCTTGAAATTACCACAATCTCCACAAAACCCCTTCTGATACTAATTATATTTAATTTATTTGCAAATAATAATTAGTTTAGTAAAATAAAATGTAAAAGACAATAGCTGATTTTAATGTTGAGTTTTAAAGGTCGAATAGTTTTCTTCTTTACAATAATGATACACTTTCGATGAAAACCGCAATGATGTTTGATGTAATTATTGTAGTTTTTAAAAAAAGAAAAACCAATTGATTACGTATACTTATAAAAGTAGTGTACAAAGTAAATTCACATTACTTATATATACTAGATAGTTGTTTTGCTAGCATGTCGAGTGGCCTGCTTGAATATCTGGGCTACCTGTTCGTGACATCTAGATATCTCAACAAGTTATCTGTTTCCTTATTTGTTTTAGCAGATCATCATGCCTGTTAGTCGGGTAACCTATTTAGGTGAGTTTGTGAAAAGTTTACGACATTTCGCTGTACAAGTTACAAAGATTTACAATCGGAGACTTCGTGATGGCTGGTAATGTGCATTGAAAAGAATGAATACTATTCAGATTTCGACTTCTGAAATGCTAATATCTAACTGGCGGTCACCCAGTATTTACCGTAAATATCAATCAAGAAATAAGAAACGGAAATAGTTTAAGCTGAGAATTCTATATTGTACCAAAAATATAATACTGAATCAAGCTAATAATAGTAGTTATATAATAATAATAAATTGATCAGAAATTCTTAATAGGAAAATTCAGTTAACGATTTTGATTATTTTCTTGAAGCATTTTAGATTTAGATGACGATAAGAACAACAATTAAATTAGTTACCATTACAAATACTATTTGTTTACATTCCAATGGTTCAGACACGTGTAAGATGGAATGGTTAAATCTATAGCTTGATAAAAATTTAATGCGGTCAAGCTAAAATTTAGAGAAAAATAGTGTGTTTTTGTCTCGCCTACATGGATAGTGATATTTCATGGTAATTGTAATGAACGATTGATAATTAACTGTGTTACTCTCTAGAATATTCACTCGAAAATGATGATTCGATAAGCATAAGTGCAAAGTCATGAAGAATTTTCACGTAGAATTACTTTCGTGAGAAATATAACCACATGGTGATTAATTAAATCACAACTGCATAAGTTCAGTTTTACAAGTTGTTTTGAAAACAATCAGTTATATAACCATAAAAGGACATGCCAATCTTAAGTACTAAAGTTGAAAACAAAGAAGAGTGGTAATTTTAATCAGAATGAGATCGGGAAGACTAAAGAAGTCATAAACAGCAAGAATTCGTCACACAACACCACAGACATTTTGTAGAACCAGTTTGTTGTAATAAAGAGTTAGATAATGCAGTGCATACCAGGCTTTAGTATATGGTTTACTGTTGGAATTTATTTCTGAATGATTATGTATGTACATATTTACTAAACAACTTCCCGGATTATTTTAAGTGTCTGAATCCTATTTTGAAAAAAAAACTTTAGTCGGAGAAACAGTATGTAACAGATTATTAGACAACTACTATTTTGATTCGGTTGGTGTTATTTGTTTGTATCATCCCATTATTGTTTAGGACTGCAATTAATCAGTCTCTTGTTGGCATATGTGAATCCTGTGCGGATTGCCTCGTTATAGCCTTGATATTATTATTATTATTATTATTATTATTATTATTAGAAGCTTTATTCAACATTATATTTTTGGTACAACATAGAATTCTCAGCATAAAGTATTTCAACAAGTTTCCTTTTCTTATACCTTGATCGATTGTGACGATAAATTTTGAATGATGACCAGTTAGATGTTAGAAGTTCGGTAATCCACATTTGATTACTGTTCATTTGTTTCAATGCATATTGCCAGCAAACATGATGTCGCTGATTGTATCTTTTTGTATCCCGTATAGCGAAAGGTTGTAAACTTTTCATAAACGCGCCTGAATAGGTTGTGCGCACAATAGACATAGTGATGTGCTAAAACAAACAACAAAACAGATAACTTTATGAAATATCCAGATCGGAGGAACAGGTAGCCCAGAAATTCAAGCAGGCCGCCGGTCACAAGCTTTTTAATAGGACGAAACGCACATCCTGGAGCCCACTGCTTGCCACTATCCATCTTTTCTTAAAAAGCTTGTGACTTAACGCTATATTGAGGCAATCCACACAGGATGCAAATACGCCAACAAGAGACTGACCGATTACAGTCCTGAACAACAATGAGAAGATGAAAGTAAAACAACAATATGTGAAATAAATTAGTGACTTAAAAAAGTCAAACTTTTGCAAACTTGCACAATAATAAGGGATAGCATGAGAAAACAGAAAGTAATGTGTTATCCAACAGGGTGTATATGTAACTATAGTAAAGAAACACTCAAATAGGAATACCAACTTATTGTTGAATGCAAAATTACATTAATACATTATGTGCACATCTTCCACCAGTTATCTCTAACAAACTCCATCGTTCCTTCATTCCTGTTGTTACTACGATTACTCTCTGTTTACGTTCCTTTTGTCTTCAATTCGATCTTTCCAATCTTTTGCTGCCAGACATCTCACTTCTTGTTGGCATCACATCCTACTTATATCTGTCAACATAAGTAGTGTACATCACTTAAATAACAAAATAGCTTGTTTAAAACAAACATAAGTATTTCTATTTTAACGATTACTTCACATTTATATGAATTTCTAAACACTACTTACTATAATTATGCCCTTATATTACAGATCATATATATATATATATATATATATATATATATATATATATATATCATTTCACAAAAATGTGTAAATAATGAAATTATATGTATGAAATATAACTATAATCTTATTGTTAACTTTCTGCAAGGATATGATAAATTAGAAAACCACACTATAGTAAAAATAACATATCTCTCTCTCCCTAACTAGGGTAGCATTTCAACATTTACAAAGTTTCACCTAATTTAGAAAGTATGTAAACGTCTATAGCCCAATGAATACAAACTAATGTATATACATTCTATGATATTTATTCGTTATTTTTAGTAATATATTTCTTTAAACTTTTTTGATTCACATCATTCATACAACTTATGTACAAAATAAGACATTGAACAGAAATACTTTCGTATATGTTTGTTTTAATTATCCTCTACATTTTTTAAAGGAAAAAAAAGTAATAAAAGGATCACAATAGGATAATGGAATACATGAATTGTTAGTTATGCTTCAAAGTTACCATGTTTATCATAATTGGGATAAATTAAGAAAAAAACAAGATAGATCCATGTAGAAATCCCTTGAATATTTCCAGTTTTTTTATACTCCTTCTTACTTTTTTTTAATTTTGTTTTTTGTTGAAAAATAACACTGAAACTTTTGCTAGGTAATGAAGTTTTTAATTTAAGACGAAACGGCCGTCCAGTTGTTCCAGGTTTTCCATGGTGGTCTAGCTTCAATTGACTTATGATCTCAATCAAAAACTTAACAATTTCCACAACACCTAAACTGATAATTACCATGTGCTCACTAGTGGCTAGCTTCGTGAGAAAATTCTCGGAGTTCTGGTGAGAAGCCGTGACCAGTGGAGCTAACCCGTGTCGGGTAGAAACAGGTGTCTACCTCAGTACAATGGAAGATGGTCGCGCAATTTCGTGGATTGGTTGAGGTTAGACATTAACACGCAGGCTAGCTCACAGGTCTAGTTGGTTAAGTGCCTGGCGCGAGACTGATAAGTCCTGGGTTCGAATCTCGCGGGGTGCGGGATCGTGGATGCACGCTGCTGAGGAATCCCATACTAGGACGAAACGGCCGTCCAGTGCTTCCAGGTTTTCCATGGTGGTCTAGCTTCAATTGACTCATGACTTCAATTAGAAATTAATTAAAATATTTCATTTAGTAATGCTACATGGTATTTGATTAATTAATGTTAAGGTAAGTATACTGTAAGACATATAAACTGTTCAAATAATGTCTGAAGATTTCCATACCACATGTCTTTATGTTACTTAACAACTTGAACAAATTTAAATGGTTCGAGGTTAAATTTGTTTTGACTGTTTATATCACATATTCTTCTCTGTTTGTTGAAGTTAGCTGAAAGCAAACTGAGAATAAAATGCTTCTATTTTTAAGATAATAGGTAATGTAAACAATTAAATTTGATAATTACTAAACAAAGAAGACGGTATTCTAACTCTTTTAACATAAAATAAACTTGTATAAGAGAATCTATTAATACAAGTTTTATTATATAGATTCTGATATACAGAAATATTTCTTACTGGATATGTTCTGGTTAAACATGAATAAATTAAAATGTTACCATGTCAAAAAAGACAAACAAATTATTTAGACACAATTTATGTAGTAAGGTAATTCATATGTAGATAACAGTATATACATTTAATTTTCAAATTTCATACAAATAAAAGGAAGTCAATTAAGTTGTAACGTAATAAATATAACATGACGTAATAAACAAAGTTTATTTGATTGAGATCATGAACCGATTGATGTTCGACCACTAGTAAAAACCTGGAAGCACTTGGTCTTTTTTTAACTGTTCCAAGTAGTTTACAACAAAGAACTGTTTATTAATGTCGAAATAACCACATAGTTGGTATTTCAATTAAAATAGAGATTCTAAGATCTAATACGCTGATATTTTTTCAGTTACAAATACAGTACACAGAATGGCATACACCTTGAAATGCTTCTACACTCTACAAAGCAAAATATAAAATTTAATAAATGGAATGTTACTGAACTTCATATATCATAGTTAGAAAATAATCGTAACATGGAAATTCATTGAATTATTTGTTTGAAAATTTTATCCTTTAGAGATGCCAAATTATATAACTGACATAACACGAACATATAATCTTATTTGACTGTGAAAATATTTTTGAATGTTATCTATCCACGTAACTATTGAATCAGTAAAATGTCATTCCATTACTAAGTATAGATATATGAGCTCAAATTTAAGCTATACATTCAGTTCATAAAATCTAGTAAATTTCAAGTCAATCACTATCCAATGACCTATCAATTTGTCAATGCTTCTATATTGTGGTGGGTGATACTTATATTGACATACGTAGTATATAACACGAGTCAGGAATGTGATGTCTGGGAAGATCAAGAAAGGAAGAACGGGAATAGAAATCAATTAGTATAGAAATGCAGGAACAATGAAGTCTGAGACAATTATCGAACATTTTGCAAATTAGGTATTATAGTATGGTTGTTCTATTTTACCAAGTCACTTTGTAATGTTGTGCTAAATATAATTCGGTTGTCCTCACCTGTGTCCGCCTTCACTACAATATTACCGTTTAAAGTAAATCTTTTAAGCGAAAATCAACATTAATAATGAGGTTTCCATGATACAAAACAAAGATATATATATAAAAACGTTATAAGTACGAAGAAATCAAATCAACTAACATTTATGATAATACCTTGATCGTTCACATTCTTTTTCAATCCTGTTCTACCTTCCTCTTACCCTCTTATTAATATGTATATCACACGTATTAATATTTTTCTTTGGAACAATCAAAAACTGATTTTTTTTATTATTATTTCCATTTCTATATTTTGTATACTAATGGAGTAATTTTTTTTGTTTCATTCACCCACTTTCATTTACTGAAATTTTTCGTTTCCTATCCTTCTTTAATTCAACTTATCCCTATATGATTATTATTCTTTTTCTTAAACCATATTATTTAATATGTTTTCAATACTATTTGCCTACTAAAGGAATTCATTCTGACAGATAACCTAAAGGATGGTAATAGTTTAAAAAAAGAAGTTAATGGAAAATGGGAATCAACATATATATATATATATATATATATATATATATATATATATATATATATATATACGTGGAAATATGCACCATTCCCAATATAACTGATATGACAAGAAAAAGAAATATATTGTATCTTCCTATCTTCAATTGAATGTCACATATTGTACTTTTTCGCACCAATTTAAAAATATACAGGGAAAAGGAATTTCTGTATAAAAAAAAACATTCAGAATAAACAAAACAAAAGAATGATTTTTTTTGTTTCGTTTTACCTGTAACTGTGCTAATTTCAATATTTCTTGTTCACAATTTACATAATCCATTGTATACAAATATAAATTGATTAATTGAACAATAGATTTAGCTTGAATATTTATAGCTGATATTTTTATATGATTCAATTGAATTTTATATAGTGAATTATTAATATTTAAATTTGGATCATTTCCTTGTTGAATAGATGATGATAATTTGAGATCAATAATAGTGGATACATATTTAATAGCATCTTCACATAGATCTATGATTATAGTTACATATTGTGATAAATTAATGTTTAATGTATTGTTAGAATCATTCATTGTTTGAATGTTTGAATCATTTTTAAAACGATTCGGATTAAAATAATCACCGTATTGAGCTTGAATATTTAAGAAATAGACTGATGCTAATTGTAGAAGAACCCTAGATTATTAATAAAGAGTAGAAAATTTTAATAGTTTAGCATTTGAAGAACGGAAAAATAGCAAAGTTTATGTCAAAAAAATGGATCACTGAATCAAACTTCTTACTTTACAATGGAATAGTATTAACTGGTTAGTCAAGCCGGCATTATTTATATCAGAATTAAAAAAAAACCAAAAATTAATAATGATTAAATCAGTGAAATAAGGGAATCAGAAAACAAATACTGATAATTATAATGTGCTCACTAATGACTAACTTTGAGAGGTAATTCTCAAAGTTCCAGTAAGAAGCCGTGATCAGTGAAGTCCAGCTGTATCGGCTGTGAGGCAGTTACCCACCAAAAGCAATGGAAGATGATCATACAACATTATGGACTGGCTGAAGTTAGAAATTAACACCGTTGGATCCCGGATCGGTGCTCTAGGGGTTAAGCGTTTTGGGTTGCAGTCCTGCGTGCTAGATCGTGAATGCCCACTACTGAGGAGCTTAGTGCTAGACGAAAAGATCGTCCAGTCTTTCCAGTTTTCCAAGTGTAGTCTAACACTGATCTATTCATGATCTCAATTGATACTGAAGAATGTGACAATTATTTATCAACATACCTTCTTTTATGTTTATATAAAAAATATAAACAAATCGAGGAGGATGATGAACAAAACGGAGGATGTAATGTCTATAAGATTCCATTATTTTAAGTCTAATAAAATCCAGTTGAAGGTTATACGATTATGTATACACTTCATATCAGTAACTAATTAACCAATTTTCTAATATAATGTCAAATTGATTAGAATAATGTCAATATTTGGTCGTGAAGATTGCTGAACTTCATTGAATACATTAATCAATTTTAGTCTCATTGCCAATAAAAACGTGGAAGCACTGAACAGCAGTTTCGCTCTAGTACGGGACTACTCATCAGTGGGCATTCATTATCCCGCAACCGGTAATCAAACCAAGTTAACAATCCTTTTTGGTCTCTATGTGTTGGCCTATTATTACAGTACATTTTAAACGCAACTGGGAATTTCTATTTTATGACTTATCCGAGAGTATTATCTATTCTTTGAATTCAGATTATCTTCCATTACCATATCTAATAAACTTTTAAAACTTTTTCCTAAACTGTGTTAATTTAATAAACATTAACTTCTGAAAATTAACTCAATGATCTCTTTTACATTATTGTCTAGGTGATAACAATGAACTTATGTTATTCTCTGTTACCTGTCTATTATACATAGCAATATTTCAATGACAGAATAAAATATACGAAACAAATCGTTAGTAAGTCAAATATAATGGTAAAACTTGTTGATACATCTAATTAGATGTACGTTATATATACATGCCGGTAATTTAAGTAAACTACATGTTTACTTATCCAATATGGGAATTCTTGTTTATTTATTGGACGAAATATATCAATAGAATGAGTATAGAATTTTTAATTAATTCCTTCTAATGTAACATTAATTTGTCGAGTTCAAAGGTGTCTTACTCAATATATACAATTGTCAGTTAGCAAAAAGCATAATTAGTTTTAATAGAAGAATAATTGATAACTGATCACTAAATTATGATATATGACATTCAGTCTCCTAAATGATTTGAGAATTATTTTATAAAGCAAATAGCTAATGCAGTAAAATGTAATTAGATAAATCATATCAGAATAGATATGTATAATCACTCCTTCTGTATATCCTCACAAAATACGTTTTCTTGTGCCATTTACACTGATAATGTACTGACAATCAATTAGTCAACTATTTATCCAACGCCTAATATCGATAAACATTGTTCGAACTAATATCAGTGTAACGGCCTTGGTTTATCGATTTGTACTCTCTGCATAAAACTGGTTTAAATATTAATGTAGCAAACCTGCTCTCTAGTCAGTCTTGAGTGCTGTTAGAGGCATGAGGGCGGTTATAACTTCTTGGTTGCCTACGCCGCGGAAGGGTTCCTTTAGAGGTATCTGAAAAGAAAATTGGATTAGAGATGATCTTAGTGACCTGAGAGCGAAACCGCAATACCAAAGGGACAACTAATTGAGGTTAGTCACACATTACCTTTTTGTGAGTAATTTTCGTGTTAGTTCCGCACATGTTGGGACCTTACCAACGGAAACGGATATCTGTGGGACAAAGCGAGGTGTGCATTTATAGGGTCGACCTTTTCTAACCCCACCTTTCCTTTGTGAGAACGCAGCATGGCTGCTATGCTGGTTGTCTGAAGGAAACACCATACTGCCGTCATACCTTTGTAGAGTCGGCAGTAAAACTTCACCCTCAGAACTTGAGTTTGCTGCTTTTAGTCTTACCGCCTTACAACCGACCTATCTGGCATGGTAGAACTTTGAGGAACGATTGTTCCAGCCATCATAGCTCGACTGGTTTTTCACCATAGGCAAGCCCGACCACCACGTCAAGGTAGCAGCAACGGCCGGGACTTGCTCTTTAAGCGATAAACATATTTTTCCAGTAGCTGAATCAATCATATTTAGTTATCAAATTCTCTTATTGAGTTTTTAGACATTCACCTAGGTTATTTTGCTAAAATCGATTTAAACAAAAGACTGTATTCCTACGATTCAAATATCACATTGTCAATACATTAGACAAGTGGAAAATATTTAAAAGCAAAGCATTTGGAAGATTGTAATCCTCAGAACTTATATCTCAAAGCAATTACAGGTTACAAAATAACGGAACTTAAAAATTTTGATCTTAAAATGTATAAATAATTTTCTCCGATAATTTATCTACTTTTAAAAAATGCCCATAATTTTTATAAATCAACTTACTCTGACATATTGATCTTTTGTTCATTCACCACATCTTCAACTTCACTAGTTTGTATACGCTTAAGTAGTCTTGCTTGAATTGACTTCAAACTATTTAAAGAATCAATTCGTTCATGAAGTTTATCATCTTCAATTGTTTGTAATTTGACTAATAATTTTAATGCATGACATAGTTCTTGTAATTCATTTATATCAGAGGCTTTTTAATGAATTATTATGTTTGAAAAAGAAAAAGTAATAAGTAAAAGTGAATGTTATTGGTGAACTAAGTAAATGAATTTAACTACTGTGTAAATAATATAGAGAAAGAACACATACTTTTTTATTTGTTATTTCATGGATAGATTTAATTGATAATTCAATAGAACAAGGAAGGACACAAGATAAAGTGAATTCTATGACATTGAATTATCTTTTGAAAACTTCTCGCAATTAGAAGATATTTTTCAGTACAAACTGATATAGATGGACGAATCATTAGAAACTAAAAATAACCGGATATCTGATTATTCTTAATTTATCAGTTCTCATAAGTTCTCACCAGAACTATTATACGGAATTAAACCTAATATCTTTGGGTTTCAAACTAAAACCAAGCATGTTTGAGATTTTATTTAAAAATTCGACTTTATCCCAGTATAATCGAAATTCATTTTATTAAACATTGGAATTTAGATCATCATTATCATTATTATCAGAGAGGAGTTTTGTGGATATTATAGTAATTTAACAGTTGATTTCATGGTTGAAAATAGACATTAACACCATTGGATGGTGGCTCAGTAGTCTAGAGGTCATGCGTTTGTGCGTAAGACTGAATCTCGAGAGGTGGGATCGTGGATGCGCACTGGTGAGGAGTCTTATACTAAAAAGAAACGCTCATCCAGTGCTTCCAAGTTTTCCATGGTGGTCTAGCTTCAATCGACTTATTAGTTCATCTATTAAATTATCATTATTACCAAAATTGCCTTTTTTTAAAAATGAATTGTTCAATAGAATCAGTACAACTAAAGATTGTTTGGTGTACTGAGTTGATAAAAAAATATTCAAAAAGAAAATAATAAATAGTGATCTTATACCGACTAATGGACACTGTATTAAAAACTCGACTCTTGAGATAAGTTTGTATTTCACACTTACCATTATATGTTTGTCACAACCATATAGCATATGATTGTTAGGCTGAATTCAAAATATTAGCCTTGATTGAATGAAGTTCGAAATTCGATAGGTCTATCAAAATGTGTACCTCTTTGTCACACTACGATTTATGCAAAATAATTCGTTTAAGAAATCGCGTATAAATAAATGAATCAAATGTATGTACATTCACCTTACTTCATACAGCTAATTAACTAGTAATACAAAGACTCAAAGATTGAATATTTTATTACGACAACAAGTGATAACATGTGCTAAAAGAAGAATCAAAATACATTTACAAACATTTGAAAACATGAGTATACACATCAAGAAGAACAAAATGTTTTACAATATGACTAAAGTACAACTAAATGCGCACAACCAATAATGATTTCAAAATAGATCACCTACAGCTTTCAAAAATCTATCTTCACTTATCCAATGAAACTTATCTTGTTCATGTTTCCTTAGTCAAGAAAAACAGCTCTTTAAACTACGCGGAAAGTCACTAATTTTTGAACTGATTGATATACAATGGCATATACCCAATTAATACTAGGATTGTTAAAGCAATAAGGATCGTCGTGATCAATAAAGGTCAAAAACATATTGGGAACACAATGCATCAATTTGTATGTGTTTGACGACGATTTTAGATGAATTAGAGAAACCTGAAATAACTGGATTACATCTTAAAAATGGATATATAAATGTATGGAAGATTTATGCCGAAATGACTGTACAAATCTGCTTATCATGTTTCAGTCTCCATTTGAAATCGTTATGTTGTGTGAGGTTAAATGCAAGTTATTTGATCACAATATTTGACTATCAGTTCATTTTTAAGATGTATCAAGAGCGAAAAATTAAAACGAACGATAGGTATCGCATTCGCCACAGTTTCTAAGAGAATTTCAAAGTCATCGCTGTTTAGTTACAAGGAAAAAGGACCAATATTATGAACAAGGCAATACAAAATACGCTGGAATAAGCATATGCACAAAAATTATCTTTAAAAAATGACATCTTGTCACGAACGTTCGACTGACATTACATAATCTATTGGTTGGTGTTCAATCAAATTCGTAACCAAAATAGTTTAAAATAAAGTAACTAATATGTTGACTTGATTCAGTTAGGCAAAAACAAGAAGATGATAAACCATACTGACCATTAGGGTAGGTCGTAAAAGACTGTCAAGTTATGGATACCGTCTAACAAACACTTAGTTAATGAGTTTAAATACAAGATGAAATTTAAATCAGATTAAAGTAGTGCACTGATGCAGATGTTTGATCTAGAAATATTATTTTGAATATCAATGCTTGTTTCCACTGAATATGAATGAAAGTAAATATTTAATTTGAGATTTCTTAGTTGTTCTTCCTAAAAACAGGTGAAGGAATAGAATAACACTTCAATAATTAAACTAAAATTATATCTGGAATTAATGCCTAGAAAAAAACGCCTTGAAATCAGTAGGTATAAGATTTAAAAAATGGAAACACATTGAATGCAGTATACTTGTTGTTTTATCAAAATTATAGTTTTAGTCATTTATAAACCTAACTAGTTATAGATTCCTTGTTTATTGTTATTTACTTAAGAAACTACTTAGTGTAGTCTTCTCATTCGGAAAAAAGATTAGTCGTGGTCAAAATACCTTAGTGGTTGAGTCACTGATTACAACCTCTGGAGAAATGTTATTCCCCTGAAGGTTGCTGATAAGTCCTCCCATCATGAAACTCACGTTAATGACCAACTAGGTTTAACTATTTAATGTACATCTGCAGAAAAATAAAGTTATATACTGAGTAGTAAATATATAAACAAGTCATAAACTCTATCTTATAAAATATATATTTATATAATCGACTTCATAACACTGCTAATCGAATTTTAATTATTTATGGAAAAAAAAGCAATACACATATTATAGTGTATAATGACTTTCAATTTTATCTTACCAGATTCCATAATTTCATTAGTTAACATAGAATGAAGTAAACGTCTAGCCTTTTTATATTGTTTCATATTGATGAGTAAATCGGCTAAATCTAATCGTAAACCATTTTGACCAGTTTTCACTGCAGTCTCATAATAAGATATAGCTTTAGCATAATGATGTAATTTTATAAATACATGACCAATTTTACTGGCTAAACGTAAATCATCAGGATTTTTACGTAGAATAGATTCATAAATTTTAATTGCATTTTCAGGTTCTTGAATATTCATATAGGCTTCACCTAGCAGAAAATAAGCTTCATTTGTTTCTAATTTTTCAGCTAATTCTCTATTAAACAAAAGTACAAAAGTGTTTGAAAAATGATGTAATTCGATCTAGATGAAAATATTTTTCTGTTAAATGGTAAAATAAAAATTTATAATCTATGAAATTAACTTCACTTGGAATCCTTTCATAGTTGAAGGGAAAGCAAAATTAACTTATCTTAATCTTGTATGCCAAGATAATGTTATCGTTCCAATAAAATACCATAAGTTTCAAATTGTTTATTTTTCCTATACCTATCCAATCACACTTGATGGCAAAACTCTGGAAGATGTAGAATCCTTCACATATCTGGGAAGCATCATCGATGAACAAGAAGGATCAAATGAAGAAGTAAAGGCAAGGATTAGCAAAGCAAGGGCCGCATTCTAACAACTGAAGAACATATAGAACTCAAAACAACTGTCAGTCAGTATCAAAGTGAGAACCTTTAATACGAACTTCAATACAGTTCTACTGTACGGAGCTGAAACTTGAAGAACTACCGCAACCACCATCAAGAAGGTACAAGTATTTATAAATAATTGTCTACGCAAGATACTCAACATCCATTGGCCGGATACCATCAGCAACAGCCTTCTGTGGGATAGAAGAAACTAGCTTCCATCTGAAGAGGAAATTAGGAAAAGACGATGGAAATGGATAGGACATACATTACGCAAATCGTCAAACTGCATCACGAGACAAGCCCTAACTTGTAATCCTGAAGGGAAGCGGAAAAGAGGAAGACCAAAGAACACATTACGTCGGATAATAGAAGCAGATATGAAAAGGATGAATAACAACTGGAAAGAGCTGGAAAGAATTGCCTAGAACAGGGTTGGATGGCGACTGCTGATGGGTGGTCTATGCTCCTCCACGAGGAGCAACAGGAGTAAACAAGTATTAAGTAATACAATACTAAATTACTTTTAAAAAGAACTCCAATGTCATTCTTTAGTTATGTCGATAAAGATAATAAATTCAGTTATAGGTTTAAAAAACTTGTATGCTGTTAGAATGACCCAATTCAAGAAATGGCTTTTAAAAATTGATATTTAAAAGTATAAATCAACATAAAGGTCAACTTAATACCGCAGAAATTTTCATTCCTTAACCTCTAATTAAAGAAGAAAATGTTTCTTTTCTTTATTTATAAATAAAGTTGAATTTCGAAAAAGTAGGATAAGGATATAAAAATATCTATCTCGAATTGAAATTTATCGAGAATTATTAAGACCTTTTTTAAATGTTTCTCAGGACAGGGTTGGATGGAGAGTGCTGGTGGGTGGCCTATGTTCCTCCACGAGGGTAACAGGCGTATGTAAGTAAGTACGTAAGTAAGTTTTTAAATATTGTGTTTAATGGTACCTTAGAGTAAATTATACCGTGGTAAAAACCACATTATTTACTAAATGAGTTTATGAGAATCAATTCAAATATGAGGATAAAATTTTCATTGAGGACTAACATCGTTTGGAGAAAATCTGATTACAAAGAGCATTAGACTGCTAAGAGTTGCTTATACGTCCCAGACTAGAACAAACAACTGTCTAACTCCCTCCGGTTTCCAGTAGTTCTTTCTAAAAGTCATACTTTTTAAGAACATCTTATTAAACTTCAATAAAAAAAATTAGATGGAGATTCATAGAATTTTCTTTAACCAAATGCAGTTCAATCGATGGTGAAGTAACGTGTGTAAAATTCAAAGCAATCTAATTATATAGTACTATACCTTTTTCTGTTTAGGTTCATAAAAACTAACACATGTTTACCTTTCATAAAGTTTGATTATGTAACAAAAATTTACCGATTTCCTATATTGGTAATTATTATTGACAATCTAATTATAATTTATAACGGCATGAAAATTAGAAGTAAACGTGACCTCATATTATTTCTTTAAGGTGCTGAAACTTGTTTGACATGGCATGCAAACAATATCCATCTTTGTGTATAACCCCCTAATTGAATTTAGGTTTCACAAGGATTGATTGTAAAATCCGATATTTAAATAATGATGAACCGCAAAAAGCAGAGTGATGAATCTTAACATCCGAATTTATTTAACAAAAATGACTTGGATAATTCTGTAAAACTCTTCATTACAATCAGTTTTAGATGGTTAAAGATAATCAGCAGAAAACTATGAACCTGAGTTTTGTGTTAGTTGACATTTTTAATGAAGTTTTCTTGAGGTCGTAGGTTCGATCCCTGGTAGCCCAGCTTTTCAGTCTGAGACTTTACCACTGAGCTACTTTCTACATACAATTAGTGTTACGAAGAACGTGAATACGTAAAACATTCAGAAAAAAACTTAAAATCAGATACAAAACGGAACACTGATTGTATTTCACAGTACCTGTAACAAGCAGTATATAACTTCTTTTCTTTTCTATGATATAAATAAATATTGGCCATATGTTGTCGTGCAGTTATATAGTATGGATGGTCAGCTTGAATTTGTCTTAAAGTATTCAGAGCTGTCTCGTGGTCATTTTGTGCCAGAGCTAAATTAGCCATAGCTATTGTAACTCGTGCAACTTCCACAGTACCAGCAAATGTTAAATAAGCATCTTGCAAGACCTTTGTAGCTTCATGCTAAGATTATGAAAAATAAAAACAGAACTTCGAGACTCGTAATAACTCGTTTAAGATTAAAGAAGTGGAAATCTTGATATTATATTTTGACTCTTTTAATTACCAGTATACTGCAATTACGACTATGTCTAATGCTCTTGAAAACTGAGCATAAAAAGTGTCCAAATAACCTTCTGAAAGTAGAAAAGTATACAAAACTGATTAAAGTTGAGAGGGACTAGTGCGATGAGTAGGTAAACTCAAAATATGAGTGTTTTTGCGAGAGCGAATTTGTGCATGAACCAAGAAAATGTAATATTTTCACTCTGAATTTTAAAAAGTTGAATAGATTTGTCCCTAATGCATATAACTCAGAGTACTTCACTAATGACTTTTTCAGACTGATGTATCAAAGGCGAGTATTATGGAAACCTCTACATAGCTCAAAAAAAGAGTCATGAGTTAAAGTAACGTTATTAACTGATCAACTCACAAAGCATTGTATTCTAATTTCTACTTAAGCCGAAGTTAAATCACACTGTGGGTAGTAATCTGGTAGCTACATCATTTTATGACGGTTTCAACTATAAAACATTTCTTTTCATCTAACAGTTTACCATACCATCTCAGAAGTCTGTGAACTAGATATTGAATGTTTACAAACAGTTTGTTTCGTTGAATGATCAACTGTTATGCAAACACTTTACTACACGTGCACTACAGATTTGAATTTTGTGGATAGATGGGTATTTTTAAAGACTGAGTTAAAGGATTTTACTTCCTAGCATTTTTACGAATACTTCGGAATTAGTATGTCTCCAGACTTAGCGTAACAATCAAGACGTTGAATGATCTCGCATAATTTTGAAGACAGAGACGTGGACTACTGGATTCCGACTCGTAGAAGGCTCCCTGAGTACAATCCCTCTTAGAGATGTTCCAAACTAAGTTGAAACGGGTATTTATCACTTTTCTAATTTTCAGTAGTCCTGCATCTGAAATCAGTTTCTGACTTGAACTTCTTGACTGAGGTCATTTGAAGGTTAAATTGTTTTAATTTACTGTGTTACAAAATTATTTTGAAGTGCATAAGTACCAAAAACTCTGTAGACCATTAACAGAACTTGGACGATACTATTCAAGTCTTAAAATGTCTACTGTGTCTTCCTAAATAACAAAGCTTAATCCCGAAAATTCGTAGGGAAAACAATGTATCAGTAAAAACAAAATCAATTGATAATATTCAAACAAAATCAAACACAAAGAGCAGTTTTCTCTTACAATGAACTGACTAAAAATGGTGTTCGAATTTCAGTCTGAGAATGTCATAAGACATTTAAAGGGGGTATGAAAAGTTTGTATTGTTTTAGACCTATTTATTTGGAACAGTGATACACTTGGTCTTCAATTGTTTGCCCACAGGTGTCGTTGAAGCATTGTGCGTGTATCCTGGAACGATCAAGTGATCACTATTGAGGTTAGACATAAGATGTAATGCTTGAGGTATTTGGAGCATGTATCAAGTTTTCCTGACTAATATCTTTCTCAATGGGCTATTTTAGTAAGTGTAGGAATGCGCTGTAAAAATGGCTAGGTAAACTCTTGTCGTCAGTTCATAAAGTCATTGATTATTGGTCTGGGAGGAGTAAATATGTGAAGACTTCCTGACTGGAGTGTATGATATCGGCGATTTCTGGTTAAAGACATTGTATGGCATAGCTCGGCAACAATGGCATTGAGGCTTTCACTGTTTATGTACACTAGGTCGTGAACTATGGTAGATGCCCTTTCATAATGTATTTTAGAACCATTTTCTCAATGTTTGGTCTTTCTTATCGTTGTTGTTACTAATTTATTTCAAATATTTTACTATTCATCTTGTTAATTTTATCCCATTATGCTCTTGTTGTATGGTAACTTATGTTAACCCTTGTTTGCTACACGTTTTATATTGTTAATTACCAAATGACGCCAGTCAACCAAATCATAAACTATCAGGAGAGAAAACCCAACTCAAAATTTATCGGGCCTAACCGTATCTAACGTACTACATGATTTTAAAAAAAAACAATCATCTTACTTGTTCTCCTAAAGTTCTATGTGCGTCAGCAAGTTCAATATATAATGAAAGTTTGTCAGATGGCATTATATCATTAAATGAATAATTAAAACTATTAAGTTTTAATGACTGTGAATAACTTGAAAGATTTGCAATTGCTTGTTTTAATATTTGCACTGATATTTTAGCTGAACCTTGTTCACTCATTATACGTGCTCGAACGAGTTGATATAATGGATGATTACGTACTTCAAAATTATTTCCAACACCAGTTTCCAAGGTTTGTTCAGCAGCTTTCAAATTTGACATATAAAATGGATCTTTGAAAATAAAAATCGTTAACGTAATTTGAATCAAATTAAAATATCAGAAGGGGTTTTGTAGATATTATAGTAATTTTAATGGTCGAGATCATGAGTCAGTTGAAGCTAGACCACCATGGAAAACCTGTTTGTAAAGGATATGTCTCTCAATTTCGTGGATTATTTAAAGTTAGACATCAACACCGTTGGATGCCGGCTCAATAGTAAGGCGCTCGCGTGCGAGACTGATAGGTCCTGGGTTCAAATCTTGCGAGGCGGGATCGTGGATGCGCACTGCTGAGGAGTCCAGATTTTTCATGGTGGTCTCGTGACCTTAACCATTAAAATTAAATTATGTCCGTGAAAGTTACCTAACTCAGAAATTTACAGTATTTGTTTCGATATTGGTTTATGAACAAGTTAAATGAAGAATAAAATGAATATAATACATTATAATTGTTTAGCTAATTGACTTCACTGAATTATTTCATCGCTAGATTTTAAACAGCATGACATTTGTCAGTTTCCAACAGCTATCCCTATTCATGGAAATGGAACTGAAGGGAGCTCAGAACATTGGAACATGACATTCTCATTTGCTTAGTGGGTAATATGTTTTATCAGTGATAAAATGGTGAAAGTCATAATAGATGAACAAAAGGCTATCAAATCTGTATTTGCAGGAAAATAATTTTTCTCAGAAAGCCATATTTACTCAAGAAGTTTCAAGAAAGTAACCAAGTAAACTGAGAGAACATCAGAAAAATGGCCTATAAAATGTAATAATTTAGATGAATATTTTAAACATGAAAGTTTACGGGATTATTCCTATCATTAAATAACCCGATTATTTTATGAAAAGCAATACTAATTACAGAAGTGTATACTCAGATCCACATTACCTTATCGACTAAGTTATTTGAGATTAAAGTTTATTTCTGAAACAGTAAAAAATGATTCGGATGGAACATCAACAGGCATATCATAATAATTATTTATGAAAATAATGCTAAAAAATCTAGCTTGAATGTTGGGGTAGAGTAATTTTTTCTACTTACAGAGTAGACCAATTGGTGAGAAGGGATCTGAATAAAAAAGAACTTGCGTAGGAACATATAAAATTAACCGCAGTTCCATGACACTAGAGTAGGAAAGAACTGTGGTAAGGACATTTCGTTACATAATAATGCCTTTATTGTCTATCAAGTAACCGATACCATGAGATGTTCGAAAATAAGTACATCCTAACAAAAGCAAACAAAAGATTGTTCTAAATGATAGCAACAAATTGCTATTCATACGCAGGTAATTTTAAAGCACTGCATCGAACGAAGTATCATTCAGAGGTTATACGGAGCAATCAAAAGAATGTTCAATACAGTGATAACACGACTTTACTATGCAGTCGGTTGTAACGATGAGACTGGAGAAAAACTATTTAGATTACATGCTACTATTTGTATTTATTAACTTAACTGCTCCTACAATCTCCTAGGAATTAACTTTTCTATACCCATGGATACTTTATAAAGTAGCTAAGCAAAATTGTAGCTACAGTCCAAGTAACTCAATCTTAAATATATTTACCTTAAACCTGGCTATTCATTATAATAACCTGATTATCTAACTATAGAGTGTAATGAAAATTTATTGAAAATAATATTCTTTGTTAATGGATCTGTTTACCTTAATAAAATGAGCATTTACAAATAATACATGTTTTGTAAAAGAATAAACGGGTTAGACTTTAAACGATAAATTGTAGTTACGGCAATTTTTTCGAACGTTCAAAGTGGAATGATGAAAAATCGCCATCCCATTCTACACTTATATACAACGCCTACGCATATTGGCATTCACTATTACAAATAATATATTACAGATGAGACATGATTTCGTCAGTACTTATGTATATATAATTGTCTATGTATTCACTGTAAATGTGTTGAATTCTCTTAGTTTCGGATATGAATTATGTATACAACCATATATGGAAAAACTAAATATACTGCGAATAGTTCGCCACGTCATAATTCCCTCCGATTATTAATTAATAGACATTCAGATCAATAAATTTAATACTAAATAATTAATTGACTATTTATTGTAGTTTATTTTGTAAAGCATTTCATCAATTATTTAAAAGGATCATTTCCAATCCACATTTCAAGCTAAGCTTATGGAATATGTTAAAGTAATATACCGAATTTATATAACGAAACATAATGATAGTGAATTTTAAGGGATTTCATATTTTTCCCCAATATTAATCATAATACAAAATAATATAAACAAAATCGGATAAAAATTACCGAGGTCAAATTAAGTTTAGTTCAATAATGAAACTAGATAAGATTGACTACCATGTTTGATTAAATGTAACAACAATTTCCCCGATACTTATTTATCATTCAATCAATAAATATTCTGACAATTTTATTTTATTGCTATTAACGATTAAGTTCATGATTTCTTAAAGGATTAATATGATGACCCAGTTACAAACTGAGACCCCTCCCCAAGATATATATATATATATATATATATATATATGCACATCATAAGCCTCAGTTTCAACATAATTCACACTAGCTGGTCATATTCACACTATAAACAATAACCATATCTGGATATCATGGCATAATCATTTAGTCCAGAATTGTTTTTGGATCAGTGTATCTTTGATAATTTTGATTAAAAGGAGTTATTCACTACTAACTAACAACGGCTGAACTATTGAAAACCAAAGAACAGTGAACATCTATTCTATTTTAGTTCGCAACATTTCAGGAATATATATATCCAAAACCTCACCAAACATAGTACCAAGGACCTTCTGCATGAATCAATGTAGACACGAAATTATGACCGATCAGGTGATCTGGTTAGATTAAGCTGAAAAAAAATGATGAATTATCTACAACATGTATTACACTCTGACAGGTTACCACCACGATTACTAAATGATAGAACATAGAATAAAATTAACTTAACACTTAATGATACTATTTGTGTAATTAACATATCAGTTATTCCATAGATCTATACCAAAGTAAATACTTTTAGGTTGATTTCATGTACAAAAAGACTGAACATAAAGTTTATCAAGCTAAAAAGTATCGTAAAAACATACTACTTAAATACTCTCTTTTATAGTTTGTTTAAAATGAAAAGTTTGTAAATTTTGATTTATATTAGTTTAAACATTTTTGAAATGTGTCAAAACAAAACTTAACTAATTTTAGATATAATATAATCCTAAAATGTATAATCTGTTACATAATCTATTATGTAATAAATGTATTTTCAATGCATTACTTCATCAATAAGAACAGATTGTCATAAGTTTACAGAATATAATCACTTCCTATTAAAGATTAACATGGTATCCAACAAAATTGTTTAGCAACAATGACATTTACAAATTCTTTAAATATTTCCTTTGAAATTCAACTATTTATTATGATGACATTATAAAACTGAAATTGATGATCTATGCGAACAATTATAAATGTTTATATCCTCTAAATATTTTATTATATTGAATGTTAAACCAGTTGTCATGCTTTTATTTTCTTCAAGCTGTACATATCACTCATATGATAAATCTATTTATGTAGAAGAATATTGCAAACATAAGTGAACATAAATAACATCGTTGAATGCCGGCTCAGTGGTCTAGTGGTTAAGTGCTCGTGCGCGAAACCAGTAGGTCCTGGGTTCGAATCCCACAGGGGATACGCACTGCTGAGGAGCCCTATACTAGGACGAAACGGCCGTCCAGTGCTTCCAGGTTTTCAATGGTGGTCTGGCTTCAACTGACTCATGATTTCAATCTGTGAAAATTTCTAAAGTCTCCACAAACCCCTTCTGATCATATTATGGAAAATCAATTCCGGTTTAAACACGTGAATACATTCATGGGTTTTACTGATACATTCTTCTTTAACTCTGAAAAGATAAAATGAAGATCTTGACTACTGCAGTTGCTAATATGAATAACAGTAGGTCAGAATTAAGTTATCAATTTTTTTTACATTTTCAATTTACAATAAGCATTTTCAATACCGAATTCACATGCCATAACTTTAAACGATGCACTGTGCCCTAAACCTGGCTTACTAATTTGGAGATATAATTGTGGGACCTGAGGAAAATTTATTGAAACGAATATTCTTTGTTCATATATCTGTGTTTTATAATGATCGGAGTTTTTGGTAATTAAAATGTTAAAAACAACCTATTGTGTTGAAAGCGCTCAATGAGTTCCTGAAGTATAGTATGAAGTTTATCAGTAGCTGCACCGAATTAAGTCGCTACCCATTACGACCGACGAAGTCCATCCTAATAGAAAGATACTGAAACGCCACACCCTGAACCAGATTGACGCCTTGCATTCTGATATTAAAGAGATGTAGATGAATGTTTTTCGCAGAAAATACTTTGTAGAAGACCTAATGTATGATTTGAGGATACCCACTATGGACTGTGTTACGGACGCTACAGAACAGAGAGCAGTGAAGAAACGTTTCCATCTATTGAAGGGTCTGGGATATCAAACAGTTGAAAACAAATTTCTAGCCGATTCCAAAAGATGTCTCCATAATTCCTCAAGTGTTAAACTTGACGTATTATCCTTAGGTCTGAAATTCTGTGATACACGTAATCGCTCTCACCACATCGATACAGATACACAGTTCGAAAACCTATAAATTCAGACACGGGATTTAGTTGCAAATTCTGACCAACAACTAGAACATTCGGAATCAAATATTGTAAACTGTTGTTACTAGTATAAGAACAACAAATTCAATTGCAAAATCATTCTCGCATGAAGAACAAGAAGGCTATTAACATGCTCCTAAAGAATGAAACGTTAATGATTACGAAACCTGGCAAAAGTTCAGCGGTTCTTCTTGATAAAATGGGTACCATCTTAGATGACAACTTAAAATTTCAAGAACCAACCGACCAGAAATATCTCGATGATAAGATAGAGAATGAACTAATGAGATCTT